TACGTTAAGATTTGTGTAGATGCAAAGCGAGGGAAATTGTCAATAAACGTATACCACAGCCCACAGGTCAGCCGATTCATCACATAGTAAACACTAAATATAAGCTCTGTAAAATAAGTTTAACAAATTAAAAATAAAGAACTCTTACTTTACAAATTTTTTTTTTTACAGACTAAGACTTAACCGTAAAAATCTTAATACTCCATTAAAGCTTGACTCACAAAGGCCAACAGCAATCCAAAGTTTTGCTTTAGATTGGCATATTTTTAGAATGTGTTTAGATAGAAATTTAAATAGAATAATTTATTTATTTTGAAGAATTTTAATTCTTTTTAAGGTGAAATATTTTGTTTGGATAGAAAATTTATAAATTTTTTTTAAAAATTTAAGTATTTGTAATTTTTTTTAAATAATAAGATTTTAAATTCTCTCATAAAAAATAAGAATTTGAATTTTTTTTTTATATATTTTACTTATATATTTTATCTCATCATCTATCTCTTCATGTTTTTAATTATTGAATATATAAAAATATTTAATTATTAAATATTATTTAATATTAAAATTTAAAATTATTAAATATTTAAAAATTAACTAATATTTATTTTTTTATAAAATTCAATTTAAAAATCTCAACATATAAATATATTTTTAAAATCAATTTTATCATGGTGAAATCAAATTATCATGTCTAAACTAATAATTTAAAATTTTAAAAATTTAATTTAACTTATTCAAACAAAATATTTTAAGAATGATAAAAATTAAAGTTAAAAGAATTTAAATATAATGAATTTTAAATTTCTTATATTTATAAAGTTTTAGATTTAAACACACCATTAAAATGGTGCAAAACAATTTCAAATTCAACTTGACGTGTCAAGAGAGCTGAGGTAGCAGAGTTATTCTACTTTTATGCAATATTACAACTTAATAATTATAATATGGTTAAAATACTTTTTCTCTTTATAATTTCATATACTTAATTTGTTTAATCTCTTTATACTCTTTAGTTAATTCTTTTGTAATATCGTGTCTTTTACGTTGACATGGCAATGATCTTTGATTTTGTAAAATTAAAACATTGGTATGTCAACAATAAACATTTTATATGAAGGTAAAAAAAAACACAAAATGTTAAAAAATCTAATTTAAAATAACTATAGCAGAATAAATTTGATTTTATATATATAAAATTAAATTAATATATTAGTTAGATCAGCACAAAAGAGATATATTACAAAATTATTAATAGACAACATAAACTAAAAATATTTATATTAAATTATAAAGACTTAAAAAGTTGAAAAAAAATATGAGACTAAAAATGTCTATTTTAAATTATAAAAATTAAAAATTAAAATAATTAAAATTATCCAAACTACGTTTTTATTCTGTTTCCAAAGGCATTTGTTATTGCACTGACATGATAATAAAAAAAATAAAAATAAAAAAGGCAAACATTTTATTTCCTTTTATAATAAGTGTCCTTATATATTCTTTTACACATGATAAAAATAATAATAATAAATGTATAAAAGAGAATGATAACTTTATAAAATTAACTTTATGATTAATTTTTTATATTATAATAACCACTTTCGAAAGAATATTTTAAAAGATATAAATGAAAAAAAAAAATCATTAATATTATATTAAAAAGTTAATGCGACTTATATTTTGATTTCTTTAAAAATGTGCTGTTTATTATGAAACGTATGCTGTTACATGTTCCTTTTTATGAAGGTGAGATAGATCTTGGAAAATGGCTATTATTAAATTGTATTGCTTATATATAATATTGTTGTATTGCTCCCATTCCATTTTCCTATTTTGTGAAGTTCCGGTATGTAAATGATAGTGTCATTGACTTGCTCTATTTTTCTCTTCGTTCTCTTTAATTGACCTGCTCTATTTTATAACACGCGTTCTGTCTCTAAAGAATGTAAGCAACTGACAAACCAATTTATAGACTATACGTGAAAAGTTTTGAATTATTTCTTAACTGGGGGAGCTGGGATACCTAAAGTGGAACCATGAAAGAACATCATATTAGTTAATTTATTTATTTTTACAAATTTTAGCCATTAATAAATTAAACAAATAAATACTTTGCAATAAATAAATAAAAAATGGTCTAATAAAGAAACAATCTTGTGTTCCTGCCAATTTGACGTGGAACAAAAGTCAAAATATGTAAAACATAAGGACAAAATACAAGGATTGATGTTTGATATTAACATTAAGTTACATCAACGTATAAAGACGCGCTACACAACGTTAATCGCTAAAGAACGAATTTGTTTTTTGTGTTAAATATCTTCCAACGGAGAGAAGACAAGTATACAGAACGGAAATAATGAATTAAGAAAGGTTTAAATAATGTATTGTATGGTCCCTGTAGGTAGCTGTCGAAACGCAGTCCTGAACAAAATATTCATAAAATTTTAAATCTCAAATAAAACAACAAAATTATCACGTTAAATTAATTGATATTATATGTGTTTTCAATCTGTAATTATAAATTATATTATTAGTGGTTTAAAAGATTAAAATAATATATTTTAAAATTACAAAGATTAAAAAATAAAATTTAATTTCCATACCAAAATAATATATATTTTTTATATTTTGAGATTAAAAACATAAATTTTAAATTAAAATATAATTAAGCTTATTCATTATTATCATTTTATTAATAATTACGGATGTTTATATAAAGCATAAAACGAATCAAGAAAATTGAAAATAAAAAATTACTATTTTTTAATTAGATTAGATTGATTTTTAGTTCCAATGAGAAAATCAATCTAATCTCCGATTTAAAATCGAAAGTCAAAATTACGGTCAGTAAACAATTGTATCGATTGATTGGTGAAATAATTAAAAAAAATCAAGTAAAAATAGTTACTTGTGGATAATTTGGGGTTAAATATCATTTTTCATGAATACCCATTTTCAACCGACTTATGCATGCTATTATATTGTAAAGTAATATTATATTGTTAAGTTACATGCAAAGTCATTGCCATAGTTTTATTATTTATTTACCAAGTTAAAGTATAAAATATATTGATAAGATGAATATTAAAGTTTGCAATCTTAGATTGAAAGGTGTATTGGTTTATGATTTTATAGGATTTTAAAAGATTTTTTTTTAATAAAAAAGTCCGTTGGTATTCAATCAGGATTTTATGTCACTTAAAAATAATTCAGTGGTATTTAATATGAATTTTCAATATTTTTTAAAGAGTTCATTAAAATCTATTGATATTCATTTGAGATTTTTTATAACTTAAAAACAATCCATTAGTATTCAAAAATATAAGGATTGTTATATTAGAGAGATTTTGAAGGACTTTATAGTATTATCTATAAATACCAAATTTATAAAACAATCTCATCCAAACCCATCAGATTTTGAAGGATTGTTTGAAGTGACTTTTCAAGTGCTTAAGAATTTCCAAGTGAATTTTTCATCTTTTTTTTATGTTTTTGTCTTCTTCATTTTTTCTCTGCTAATAATATTGCACTACTGTTTATTGCTTATATATAATATTGTTGTATTGCTCCCATTCCATTTTCCTATTTTGTGAAGTTCCGGTATGTAAATGATAGTGTCATTGACTTGCTCTATTTTTCTCTTCGTTCTCTTTAATTGACCTGCTCTATTTTATAACACGCGTCAAGAAAAAGAAAAGGTAAAAACTGAAATTGATATCATAATCTCTATAATATATATAAGATGAATTTGAGTTAAAGTTTATGTGACTAGAATGAGATGAAAATGGATCTTAGTTGGGGGAAAAATCCTCTCGCATAAAAACTACGATCTCTCTCATTCTCTAGTGCCACCTCAATTTATTTTGCTGTTTCAAAAAAAAATTGGAAAAGAGAATGGAAGAGGAACCAACACAAAGCATAAAATTTGTGGGTATGTAATGTTCATATATAAGATATTATAAATGATTAAAAGTACATTTTAAGTTTTTTTAAAGAAGGAAATTGCTAATCAATGACCTAGACATTGGTTAATTAAAAAATCAAAAGTAGAAAATTTTATTGAAAAGTATATATGTATATTCTTTTATACAATTTTATTGTAGTTATATATATATATATATATATATATATATATATATATTATTTTGAACCAAGAAGCACACAAACAACAAAGAAGATAATAACTCTTTTTCCTTTTATCATGATTTTATACATTCGTAATTATTTCCCTCTTCTTTTAATGATTTCAATTTCAAAAAGCAAATAAACGTTCGAACTTCGAAAATTCCCCTACTCATGACTTTCATCCTCCTCTAGTTGACTTCAGAATGATAATCACTTAGACATCATGGTAGAACTAGAATTCCACAGCCATTGTTGAAATCCATCTGTTTAATTTAGTGCGCCGTTAAATTCACACCAGAGACTCATTTCCTACACCGCACGTAAGTTTTAATATAAAATTCGTAACTAAGATCAATTTAAATATATACTTTCGATCATAATTAACTGTTTGGAATTAATTTTATCAAAATCAAATCATCCTCGTCAAAAAAACCCGATAACAAAGTAAGAAACACGTTGAACACGGTCGAGAATAACTTGAATTTAGTTGAATGTTACGAAAATTCACTTAGAAAGTAAAAAATAGAAGTGAAAAAAAAAGAAGTAATAAGGAAACAAAGTTTCACGAAAATAAATAAGGAAACTAGAAATGAAGGCTAATTATTGAACGTAAAAGGAAAGGGGAACACGTTAATGTTGTTGTATGGAATCACCGCCAAAAGTCAAAAAGGTAGCATCGGAGGCACTATACACGCGTCAGCAAGACAAACTCCGCTGTCTTCCATTCGTGGTTTCACTTTAGGCCACGTGTCAATGATTCATTAGCGAAACAAACATCATAGTAATAATCATAATACAACACAACAACAACAACATATACTACATTAACATTAGTTTTGTATCTTAGGGCTTAGGCCATTGTGAAGGCTTAGGCTTACTCCCCCAAACACTCCAACCCCACCCTCTCCTCTCACTGTACTCAACAACGACACAGAACGAAGCAGCATAAAGCAAGAAAGAGATAACACATTATCACACTAATACTATTACTATTACTTATACTTCATTTCATTTCATTTCAATCTGAATAGTGTGAATATATATCATATCATATCTCTCGTAGTGTCGTACACCATTACACCACACGCATACATTTGTACACAGACATGGGACCATTTCCCTGCGTTTAAATTTTGATCTTTTTCGTGGACGACAGGATCCGACTCTGCCGCTTAACTCTCCATATCTTCGCCTTTTATCTCTCTCTTCTCTCTCACTCTCTTCTTCTTCTTCTTCTTCTTTCTAACCTTCAAACAGTGTCATTCATGGAAATGGAGGACCATCATCATCATCACCATCATCATGAGCAGCAGCAGCAACAGTATGGCATCACTGATCTGAGGCAACTCTCGAGCCATTTCCCCTCCATGCCGCCGCAGCCCACGGCGGAGCTCTTCCCCGCCGGCCACCCCAACCTGGCGGCGACGCAGCACTACGAGATGATGATGTTTGGTCGTCAAGTGGCGGATATAATGCCTCGTTGTCTTCATGACTTTGCGTCCACCGATTCCGCCACTAACACCACCATCGCTGTTGCTACTCCCACCACCACTAGTGCTTCCACTCCTCCTCTTAGTTGCTTAGAGGCTGAAACCGCAGGATGCATCGCTGGAGACGCATCCACCGGAAGATGGCCCCGACAAGAGACTCTCACTCTTCTTGAGATCAGATCTCGCCTCGACTCTAAATTCAAAGAGGCTAATCAAAAGGGCCCCCTTTGGGATGAGGTTTCTAGGTACCATTTTTTTTTCCCTCAGATTTAACTTCTCAAAATGATTATTGTTTTTTTTTTCGACAAAAGAGTCATTCAGATACAAGCTGAAGTGTTTTTCAAAACTTTTCAATTAGAAAAATTCTTTATTTCTAAAAACTATCTTTTAAACTTATTTATATATGATCTTAAATAATAAAAATCAGTATGTTTGTGTTACTGTGTAGCTACCTTGTTGATTGGTTTTAATTTTGATACTAGTAGTGACACTGAGTTTTCTGGAAACTCTGATAGAAACATAATATGGCAGTAATTGCTGGAAGTGACTATACTATATACACTGGTCGTCTCGCTACTCAATTTTCGATTATTGATCGTGTACTTCGAGCCAAGTGCTTTAAGTTCATATACCAAGATTAGTACGTCTCCACCACTGTCCCTTTTTCCCTTTTTGAAATTTTGTAGCCTCTTTTAAGTGCAAGTGCTAGCTTCCCTTTTATTGCTAGTTTTTTCCTACTCAAAATTCATTCAACTTTCGGAAGCTTTTTGCAGCTATCTTAATTCTAGCTCTTATCTCATGGAATGTCATCCAGCGCAGGCTCTTGCTCCAATGAATGGTTTCCAATTTCTAAGCCAAATTCGAATGGTCATTTGCTTAGTCGTATTTGCTAAAACTAGGTTGCTGTAACATGTAGAGAGTCAGTGCATGACATTGCATAGCAATAGCATTATTATTAATTATTACGAATGTTCATATCATTCACAGCTTAGACTAGGGTTCCATGACCTACGATTAGCTCAGTTTCTTAGCCTTTTTGTTTCTTGTGTTAATGTTGAAGGATCATGTCTGAAGAACATGGATACCAAAGGAGTGGGAAGAAGTGCAGGGAGAAGTTTGAGAACCTTTACAAATATTACAAGAAGACAAAGGAGGGAAAGGCAGGAAGACAGGATGGGAAGCATTACAGGTTCTTTCGTCAACTTGAAGCCTTATATGGTGAAAACAGTAACCAAGCCTCGGTGCCAGAAACCAATTTTGGAAGTAGCAGCCTTCGTTTCCACACAAGCAGCCACACTAACCCTTCTCAAACAAATCAAGAAATGTTTCAGTCTCAGAAGCATTGTGATAGCCTCAGTCTCACCAACTCCACTGACTTGGACACGTCATCATCGGATGACAATGATCAAAACAGCACTGGGGGACTCAAGGACAATGACTCCATGGAGAAGAGGAGAAAGAGGGTGAGTGGAAGAAGCTGGAAGGTGAAGATAAAAGACTTCATTGACTCACAGATGAAAAAACTGGTGGAGAAGCAAGAGGAGTGGTTGGATAAACTCACAAAGACACTGGAACAGAAGGAAAAGGAGAGGGTATTAAGGGAAGAAGAGTGGAGGAGACAAGAAGCTGCAAGGTTGGAGAGGGAACACAAATTTTGGGCCAAAGAGAGAGCATGGATTGAAGCAAGGGATGCTGCTTTGATGGAGGCTTTGCAAAAATTAACAGGAAATGAGATAAAGAGTACTCAATCTCCTGAGGGTCTAATGGTAACTGGAATTCAAAACCACAGTGAGAACCAGAATGAAGATGGAAGTGAAATACTAAATAGCACTATTGCAAGAGGTGCTGAGAGCTGGCCAGAATCTGAGATTACAAGGCTTCAACAGTTGAGAGCTGAGATGGAGACAAGGTACATCCAAAATGGGTGCTCAGAAGAGGTTATGTGGGAGGAAATAGCAACCAAAATGGCTTGTTTTGGTTACGAAAGGAGTGCTTTGGTGTTCAAGGAGAAATGGGAAACTATGAGCAGCTATGCCAAGGATGGAAACAAGAAGCGCAAGGAAAACTCAAGAGGTTGTTTTTTCTTCGATAACAGTGACCAGTCTTCTCTGTATAACCAAGGAGGTTCCTATTGTGATATCAATGATCAAAGGCACGAGACTGGGAGGATGCAAACAAATGATGGTTCTTCACCTTCGAATTCAAATGTTGGGAATGCAGTTGCGGGTGATAACTGCTTTCCCTTCTTGATGGCTGAGGGTGGAAATTTGTGGGAGAACTATAGCTTAAAGGTTAATAAAGCAAACCAAAACCAGTGATGAGAGAGAAATAAGGTTGACACTCGTTAGAGGTACGAAAATTAATTTCACAACCTTTCATCTGATCATGATCTCACGTTGTGTAAGCAAGAGCTAACTGAGGGTTTATGTATAGAGACTGGTGATGATAATGTGGTCAATCTTATTTTATTTATGGGAATCAACTAAGGTAAAAAATAATGTGTTCAAGTCACGTACGTTAGTTTAATGAGGGAGATATTGGCAAATATCAATGAATTGTTGGTGACGAGTAAGACACTAATTCAGGTGAGTTTCTCTTGTAGCAGTAGCCGATTTCTTTTATGCGTGCAAATGTAATTTGCAATTTTATTATTACTTCATATGTTGCATCTTCAATGATGTTTATATCATCAGTTAGTCGCTGTCTTTTTTCTTCCTCCTTCCTCATCCATCTTTGAATTTCTTTTTTGTTGTAATTTTTTAATATTTAGCTTTGCAGGCCTTTTGTGTTTGAAGGCCGTGATCTAGGTAGCAATTTCTTTGGTTTTACATATTGGTCAATATTTTTATGAACGGGAGAAAGTGATGTATTGATGGATATTGTTACAAGCATAAAAAAAAGGCCTGATTTTTTTTTTTATGAGTAATTTATTGAAACAAATGACAAACATTATACATACGCAGATATAATTACTGGTTTTGACTAAGGACTAAATTAAAGCAACTCCTGGCATGTGTGCTTTTCTCGTTCTATTTTTCCACTTTGCATATCAATGAGCATGAACTCACTAATTTAATTTAACTTGATCATTAGCCATGGTACGAAAAAAAAACTTAAATAGGAAACTTGTTAGAGCTGTCATTGTTCAACGTATGTGTTGTATTTGTATACCAGCCTCGCGTGCGACAATTATTGCAGACACGTTAAACTAAAGAACGTATATTTGGATAATTGACAGGTTGCAAAAATTAATATATGCATTATACCAAGGAAAAAAGGCATTTCAGAAGCAATGCTTTTTTCTCCCCCCTTTTTCGGCCGAATTAACCGGAATGAGCCAAGAATTAATTCACAACCCTATTCCAGCCTTACTACTTCAGCTTCTTGCTCAAGTGACAAGTGGCGAATGCAAATGAAGTTTTCTATTACACATGGTTTAAATCAAGCTATATTTTTTTGTGTTAAAGGAGGACAGATAGAGAAAAGTGCAACTAACACCAAAATGTATATTCCAACTTCTAGTAGAACGTATTTGTACTGTTTAGCTTGATAGGTCACTAACATGACCTTACTATTGGCTGGTTGGTACAGAAGGATCAATAAATGTTATCCAGCAAAGAAACTGCACGGGAATTCTCTATAGCGATACAGTTCTCAGTTTTATTTTGTGTGGTCCTAGTCTGTTGCGATAAGTTATGTAACAAGAGAGAAGCAAAATCCTTGACATTAGTGCATTCGGGTTACCAATTTTTGGCCATTTTTTTTTTAATGTTTGCATGAGAAAAGAATAATATATAATATGTCTAAATAGAAGTTAAGCATGCTGGGTTTTCCAGTTAACCATAATATAATTACTTACATACACCTACAAACACCAACCTTTATGGACAATGGAAGCTTGTGCTGCCATATGTACTTAACAATACATGGAATATAACAGGAGAGGAAATAGTGATGTACGTTATTATATATATTCATATAATTTTTATTTTTATTTTCATTTTCCATTACATCTTTTATCAATTTTTTCTCTTTATTTATCTATGTTTTCCAGCACTTAGTTTGAATATAATAGTACTGATTTGAAAGGTGACTTTTGGTGAGTTTTATTGAATTATAACGGGTACCCTACCTTGACAGATACGTGAGCCTTTGAGTTTTGAGTTTTGAGTTTTGACCTCCAAATCTGTTGTATAAAGATGAAAACCCTACCTTGCGTGTCCTGTCCCTGGCGTATGCCATTGAAGGGTGAATCCTCCATTAAATACATTATAAAGTGACGAAAGTAAAACACCCCACACCCCAAAATTAAATAATTTATTCATTTATTTAATCAGAGAAAAGAGTGACAGTAGCGTGGCAGATGTGCAGTGTAAATATTTAGTTGCATTTTAAGGGTATGTGGTAGTAGTACACACATACATACATATGCATAAGCATTACATGAATATTACTGATACATCGGAAAGAGTAAAGAAGTTTCCTGCTAAAGGAAAGGGTTTGGGAGACATATTGGCAGTCATTATCATAACACACACTCAGCTTTTTATCTCTCTCTTCCTTCCTCGCTTTGTCTTGACGCTTATTAGAGGCAGTTAAGTAATTAGGGAGTCAAAGGAAGCCAAAAGCACATCACCTGTACAATAATGGAAAGATGATACTATCAGATTAAAGTGTATAATATAACAATAACAATGTGCTTTTTCTCTGATACCCCTGACGTGACTACTTACTCAGCTGCAACCTGCAACTCACCTACATTTTTCCCTCCTTTTCTAACTCAGGGTGTGTTTGGTAGGATGGAAGAAATGCGTAAGAAATAAAGATGAGAGAAGTACAAAAGGGAGAAAGAGAGTGAAAATAAGGGTGTTTTGGTTTAAGAGAAACAAGGAAGAGAGAAATACAAAAAATAAAAAATAATAATTTTAAATAAAATAATTAAATAATTGATTAAAGTTTTTATCTAATTGATTAAATAAATAAAAAATAGATCAAAATTGCAACTGATTAGACCACCATTAATACATGCTTATCGGTGAAAACAACAAAAACAATGGATTAGTGATTCATTTCAATAGATTGTTTTCCAAACGTACTGTAGATGTTTACTAGCACAGGAGTGATCCATGCAACATTTTCCTCATATTATTCACACAACACTTTCCACAACTCTTATGTTTTTCATCTCTTTCCATCACATCACAATCTTATCAAAATATTTTATCTCTTCTCTTACCATCTCTGCCCCATGTCCTTCTAAAATAAAGTACCCTAAACTAGCATTCCTCTTGCACAAATAATCAATCTATTATGAACCCGAACCTTTCAAATCCAGACACTCAACCCAAATACAGGACTCGCAGAAGCATTGATAATTGAGACCCAACAATCTAAGAAAAGCCAGAGGCAGCAAGCAAGAAGAACACGCAGTATAACATCTCCAATCTGATTGGAGAATACCTTATTGCGAACCATGCCGCTGATTTTGATAATGTCACATTGTATTTCATCGTCGAGTATTTTTATCGCCTGAAAACAACCAAACCAACAACCAACCGTCCATATAAGTTAAACAAAACAACGAAAATGAATTCATGAACTCTTTCTGAATATATATATACACACCTGAGGAGCAGGAACACTCCGTGACAAAAGCTTGATGAGATCCCTAGCTTTGATGATGATATAGGGATCCCTAGTCTTTCTGGTGGTTGAAACGGTCATGGAACCCTCGACCTGCGAACGAAGGTGAAATTAGGGTTTACGATTGAAACAAAATGAGGGAGGGAAAGGGAAGTGAGTCAGGTAATTACCAAATTGAGTTCGCACGCGACGCCGAATTGTTTGAGAGAGGATTTGACCATTGGCCATGCTTCTTGGAGGTACTTTTCGCGGTACTGAGGGAAGAGAGTGGAGAAGGAGCTTACTTCGAGCATGCCGCCTTCGTTCCAGGAAGGGTCGAACTTGTCGATTTTCCAGTGGTCGATGTTGGGGTCGTCGTCCCATGGCTTGGGCTTGTCGTGCTTCCCCTTCCGCTTCTCCTTCGGCGCCTCTGCTTCGTTCGCCGCGCCGTTCTCCTCCTCCTGGTGGTTCTCCATCGCTGCTTTCTTTTCGGGTCTAAGGTTTAGGGTTTCCGGTGAACTCCTTAAAAATATTTATGTTAGAATATGTGGAGTAAGATTAGTTGGTAGGAATAGTATGTCAAATATAGGTATATTTGAAAGAAAAAAACATTACTTGAATGTGTAAAACATTAAAAAAAAATTGGAACAAAAGAGAGAGAGCTTAAAACATAAAAAGAATACGGTTCAAAGAGAATGATTTTGATACGACAATAACAACGTTGTGCATCTAGTACCTTAACAAAACTGTAAGCTTTTATTTAGGATAGAGATGCAAATGAGGTTGGGCAAGTACGGCAGCCCCCATTATGCAGTATTTATCATGCATTTTTTTTCACATTTGTATGAATATATGTTAAGTCAATATTTGTATATTTTTTCGATATTCACCTATATCGTTAGTACCTATGAGTATTTATTGGAAAAAAAAATACCTTAAAAATATTCAACAAAATATTTTAACCTTAAAAATATTCATTTATAATATTATTATTTTACGTATGAACTTTTTTTTTTTTTTTTTTGGATATCCGTGAGTGGAGTTTGTTTTAGATCCGTATTTCTTCAGGGTAATCTTGTTTTATATCCGTATTCTAGGGTAACTCAAATGATGAGAATGGCTTATATGTTGTTGCAAGTTAGGCATATCTCCACCGTTGAAAAGCTTTTGGAAGCATTTACGGATTTGGAACAAACAGAATTAGATGAGTGCAATGGGGAAGGATATGAGGAAGGGTTAATACATCTAATGGAGCTTAAGAACAATTAATTAAAAATAAATCTAATGTAAAGAGATAATTCCTTATAAAATAAATGAACCCAAGTTCAAATTCCAGTCAAGTCAAGTATCGAGCAATGTCTCATACAAGATTGACTCCAAAGAAAAATTCGTATAAGAAAACAAATGAAAAGATATTCAATTTACAATCAAGTTATCTGGTACAAATATATTTATATAAAAAGTAAGAATTTTTGTATCAATTAAAAAATTAATAACAACACATAATGGTTGCAGTAAAAGTTGATATTTTTACAAGATTTACTTGCATCAAAATTCATGCTGTTTTGTAATTAACTTTATCGCGAAAATTGCATTTTCTTTTGAATTTAATTTATAGAAATATTAATAATACATTAACGCATTTTTTTAAAAATTGGTGACTAAATTTTTTTCTTCTAAGACATATAGAATTATATGAATTTCATTTCTATTATTTCGTGTTTGATTGGTATAACTAAACTAAAATTCTCTTTGAAAGTTTATGTGAGCTTAAAACTAAAATTCATAAGATGAAAGAGTTTCAAGCTTAAAATTAGACTACTCGAAAGCAAATTATTAAGATCAATTTAATAGTAAAAAGATTTGAGAAACATAAGATTTTACATTAAAACATTGTTATTGTTATTGTAATTATTTTTATTGATAAAAAAACAAGCTTCAAAGTCTCGTCTCATTATATGCTTGTTCTTTTAAGAAGAAGGGAAAAACTCGCATAAAGTTTGTTTAGAAAAATAGGTTTATAGATATAAGGCTATTTGTCAATAGAATTTTTAACAATAAGCCACCGCATTTTCTATCTCTTTCTTATATACTAGCTAACTTGTAGAGTTGTAGTGTTACGAATAAAACTCATTATATAAGAAATAAATCTTACGTTATTTCACAAGGTTCTATAAATTTTGAGTAATACTAAATGTGTGTGTGTGTGTTTTTTTTTTTAATAAAAAAATCTGGTGCTAAAAATTCTCACTTGATCAAGCAATTATAAGGCTCATTCTGGTACAGTGGAGTCTATCTTGTACTTCTAGGGTCAATTTTCGCATTGTTAAAATAATAGTTGTCTAGTATAAACAACATCCTTTGAATGCAAATTAATTGTTAGTTTTAAACTTTAAGATATTGTGTTGAGCATGTTCATAAATTAATATATATATATATATATATATAATGAGGAGACAGCCTAACATTATCTAGAAAGCAGCAATAATATTGAAACTTAGAGAGGATTATTGCTTAAGCATAATTTACAAGTTAAATTATCCGATCACAGCTAGTAAAAGAGGAATTTCCACTCTTGAATTCTCATCGCAAAAGGTCTCTCAGTGATACAGAGAATTAGGTAAACTATAGTAAAATGATGGAATTAATAGAGGGGGGAGGGGGAAAGAATGAAATCATGAGATAGAAATTAGTGGGCTGGTAACTGTGATGTACACAACATCCGGGGAAAAAGCATAAATGTGTGAATCAGACCTACAACAGATAAGGGAGCAGAAAACAAGTTTTGGTAGTTTAAACTGAACCATTTTAAGTAATGTGGATTGATTTAGTTTTTCAAAAAAAAACAGGTTAGATATTTTAAATTGGATTGCTTGAAACTGATTTGATTTTATAATCTGAAGCAGATCGGTTTGGAATTATTTTTTTTTACACACCCAGTGTTGTCAGAACTAAACCAACAGAAATTATGTGTGAATCAACAGAAATTCCTGGCCTCTCCATCATAACAGGACTTAGGGTGGGCAAGCTGTGCAACTTGGTGGCAGATTGGCAGTGTGACAGTGCCACAATTGACCACTCCGAACAGAACTAGTGCCCAATAGTTTCTTCATAGATTGCAAGTTGGAGCTCTCTTGGGATGTAATTTGACAAGCTTTAAAAAAATAAATTAATCTAGCAATGTTGCTTTTTCTAATAGGTTTTTTTCTTTCAAAAGCTACTCTTTCTAGTTTGTAAAAATTAATAAAACTGCTTTGTTTGGCTACTCTACTCTGCTGGTTTATTAAAGGGGAATTTCCACTCTTAGTTTCTCCCTGTTTTGAATTTAAATCAAAATAAATAACTTCACTGAATCAACTCTTATTATCTTTTTAAAGATGGCCGGAAATGACAAGCAGCTGTGAGGAGTACCTCTCACCACAAATGCTATTACTTGCCGTACTACTTTGATTGAGCGACGGCTAGTGGACTGCGAGGGAAGGAAGAAAGAAGATTGAGCGAGAGGGACGTACCAGTCGTGCTGAGGGAGCCGCTCGGAGGGAGAAAGTGGAGGCTGGAGTGGCTGGCGCGGTGGCTCCGTGGCTGGTGCCGTGGCTCCTTGGCTGGAGTGCTTGGTCGTCGAATGGTATTTGAAAATTGAAACCCTAATAAGTGTTTGAGTTGCTCTTGCTCAGCGTGACTCTTTACATTTTAGAACAAAATGTTAATTTTTTTAAAATAATTAAATCGGGGACGAGTATTTAACCAGGGACTGGGATGGGAACGGGGATGGGGACGGGGCGAGTAAGTATATACCCGTACCCGTACCTGATTTCATTTATTGAATTTTATCCATACTCATACCTGTACTTGGCTAAAGCGGGTATTTCCCGTCAAAGTTGGGACGGGTTCGAGTATTACTGACAGGTACGGGTTTATTTGTCATTTCTAATCACAGCTATTTTTTTTAAAGCACCAATCACAATTCACAGCTACTTAGTTAACTCTAAATCTTTAATCATTTCTAAATCTTTAATCATTTCTAAATCTTTAACCATTTGCTCACGTTAAGAATGTAATTAGTATTTACTCCCTGTATAAAAATAGTAATACTAAATGTGTGTGTGTTTTTTTTATAAAAAAATCTGGTCCTAAAAATTCTCACTTGTCATTTTTGATATGCAAGAGTATATAAATTTTGGCTGACTTATGGTCACATGGAACATTTCAATTATAAATTTCTTGTTGTACTAAGACAGCTAATTTCAAATTCGACGATAACTATTTTTATCTATTATCTGTTATCACTATAATAGTGTGTTTGGATGATAAATTTTACAAATTCAAGGAATTTTAAATTCTTGGTATTTGAATTACTTTGATTTCAATTTCTATCATTCTTAAAATATTTTGTTTGGATGAATCAATTCAAATTTCTTAAATTTTAAATTGTTAGGTTGAATATGATAATTTGATTCCATCATAGTAAAATTAATTTTAAAAATATATTTATATGTTGAGATTTTTAAATTAAATTTTAATTAATATAAGATAATATTTAATAATTTTAAAAATATTTTTAAATATCTAATAATTAAAAGAATGAATAGATAAGATAAAATATATAGGTGAAATAAGAAAAACAAATATCAGAAATTTCAAATTCTCCCATTTTTGAGAGAATTTGAAATTCTACTATTTTAAGAAATTTCATAAATGCTTGAATTTCAAATTCTTTGTAAATTTCTCATCCAAACAAAGCATTTCACCTCAAGAAATTTAAAATTCTTCAAATAAATGAATTACCCTATATAAATTCTTCATCCAAACACACCATAAAGGAAATTACTCCATATTGATTCTCTCCAAGCCAATTTGCCCTCTTTGAACAATGTTATGGTTGTGATTGTTTCCCATTTCAATCACGGAATTTTCGCTTTTAAAGATAAAAACACAAAAGGAAGCGTGATTTGGTGAATTTTTGTTTCGTTGGGTTTAACTGAAAAACAAACACATTGTGTCATCGAGGTTACACTTCGCTTGATAAATAGGATGAAGAAGGGACAAGGGACATTTTTCACCTCCGTTTGGTGTAGTGGAAATGCAAGGGATTGAAGAGAAACGTTGGTGAATTAAGGGACACTTTTCTTCTCCACAAAAATGCAAAGAAGTTTCGTTAGAATTCTTTCTTAACTTTAATTTTTACCTACGTTTTTTTCTTCCCTTTTTACCAAAATACAGATAATTTCATACTACATTGCCCTTTCCATGCAAGGCCTTGGACCACCTTTCTAATCTAAGAAAAGAGGTAACCTTTCTAGCTGGGCTACATAATATATCCAGAAACATCAAACGTCAACACAGACCAGCCAACCATAATCACTTGCTCTTTGTATGGTGTGCCATGAAAAACAATTGTTACAAAATGAATATTTTGTACATGGTATGTATAACAACCATCCTAATGAACCTACTTCTACAAATATTAGCTTTAAACTGAGTACAGAAAAGGACAGCAGATGGGAGAGATAAAGTCCAGCAACCAAATATCCACTTCCAAAGTATAGTCAGTGTCAATAGAAAACCGCAGATGAGCTCATTTTTTATGACACTCTGCACTAACATCATACAACAGCTGGTGACACTTACATAAAGAACTTGCATAGCATCTAGTCTACCCGCTTTCTCTAAAGAACTTTCCATTGAAACGTTGAAAAAGTGGACAGAAGAGGGTTTTCCCTCTCCTTTGCCTTTTTTCTTTTTTATCCTCCATTTTTTCAGCGAGATCACCTTCATTTTACAAAAGAATCAGAGATACCAGTGTGACAATAGATATCAGATTCTCTGCCTGACCCTCCTACCATTCGTGTCACCACCATCTGAAAGTTGGGCCCATACACTCTGAGTTTTGTCCACTACACTGCAATTATCATCCTCACACCCCGCAATTGTCTTCAAGATTTCTGCTTGTAGCCAGGGGCATTTTTCTTTCATATGCTCAAATCCGTCTGATCTCATGACAGCTACAAGTCCAGACGCAAAAATAACCATATCAAGAATGAGAAGAGCTTGCACGTAAAGCAAAGCATTATTGTAATTTTGTATTTCAAAAGTCAAAATTTTACATGTGGGTTTCGTTTAGCTTCAATTTTAGTAAAATAGATTCCAAAATTCACATTAACAGTAAAGCAACAACTAATAGCTTCGGACTTTTAACGTTAGTTTAGGTATGTTTGGTGGCTTCAACGCCAAACCAAACATACTATTTATTTTGTTCTCCACTGGTGTATATACATAGAGAATGGCCGGCTACGTTTCTAAAGGATAGAGAAATTTCAGAATATTAGTTACGAAGATAATCAACATCCCATACTAAATCATGTCCTCGTTAAATGCCTTGTATTTGTACAAAATAATATACACACAATGCAACATCAATTATTTATATCTGAACTAAAGATTTAAATTGAACCTTATTAACATTACGACAATCCTAAGATTTTTGTTTTAAGTGTTCGCCTATGCAATCCGCAGTTAACCCCTTGGTAAATTTTATTTCACGTCTTTTGTTGTGTATCAAAAGATATAATATTGCATGATCAGAACAACTGAAACAGAACAGAGACAAATTTTTGGACAACCAATCTATAATCTACAATTTTTTTATAAAAATTCAACACAAGAAAAAAGAAAGACATAAATACAAACCCTTCCAAGCAAGTATCTATTTATATTTATGCGGCACAGAAAAGACACGAAGCTTGATTACTAAAAACTTGGCAATAGATCAGTGTCAGATATGGTCCATATGGATGATGTAGAAAATTGTAGAACACTGCCATGCATGTCCAGGATAAATTGTGCGATCATTTCTCTTTTCCAGTGGTGTACAGTTGAACTTTCAAAGTGCCCATGCTTTATAAATAAACATATAAGCACAAAAAGAAAGTTCAAATAATTGAGAAGGGAAAAGGAAGCAACGAAAGAGGGCAAAAATTCTGAGTCTAAATAAATGTCAAAATACACAGAAGGTTGAAAATTTTTTTTTTTTTTGGGGGGGGGGGGTATGAAAGGAGAAAGACACAAAATAATCATCCAACAGCATTGCACATGATGTGAGGATGAAATCAACACCAGTGAGAGGTAGTCAGGTATATACATGAAAGACAACAATGCAGACACATTTAGAAAACACGAGCATAATTCATACATGACTCTAAACTTTATCAACTGCCAATAGAAATCTCTAAATAAGATAGTGGGGCATCATTATAGTAACTAAGCTTCTTTTTTTTTTTTACATCCAGTAGAAGTTTTGAACTGTTTTTTAACCAGGTGCAATCATATAGTTCAATGATAGAGTAAAACTTCTTACAAATCTAAATTAAATCCTAAAGAACCTATGCCAATTTACTTGTGTCAGAAGTATTCAATATTCTGAGTGCATGTTGGCATTAGAATGGTGATATTGCTACTATCAGTTACTCCTACTGATTTGAATTTGGTGTATGTGAAGCAGAATCAATAAACACTCCATATGGGAATATACATCAAAATCATCCATGGAATTAGCTGTCTCATGAATTCAATAATCTCATAATTACATGGTTAGATGGGCAAGTTTTCTTTTGGACTATCCGATCTAAATTTTCTGCTTGGTATCTAGTTGTGTATGTCAGACAGCAGTGTTTAGTTAGCAGAGGATGCATGTATCTGAACTCATTTTTGTTTTACATTTTTACTCACTTGTTAACAACAAAAATGATACAGAAAAAACAGTCGTTGTTAGCTCTATTGTCACTGCTAAGTGCTAACTAAGCAAATGGTACGTGCAAGAGATACTAATTAGGTATACCTGCCAGATTTTGAGCAGCAAATTTAAGGCAAACAGCTTTCAACTCCGCAGCATGGCAATCATCAGCCAAGGTTAAAATGTTGGCTACAGAATTCACAGAAATGTCCTTACAAAGACGAGATTCACACATCAATCTAAGCCTACCCAAGCCATACTTGTCTGCTGCAGCTAACAATTTTCCTGTCAATGTCTCGGAAACTGGAAAATCGTTAGTTGTGGTTGATGAACCCATTTCCACCTCTTCTGTAAGAGTATCCCTGTAGATAAAGTGCAGCATGGCCTGTAAAAGTAAGAGGAAGAATCAGGATATCCATCCTCCCTAATTGTTCTACACTTCTTAACTCCTATAAGATCTTTTTACTATTAAGAAAAAAATCTGAGAAAAACAAGCACAAAAATACACAATAACAGAATAAATCCTCACCAAGCTTAATGCTAACAGGGAAGGAAAATAGAAAAGAAATAGTTTTTACCTTAAAAACCTTTGGTTCTAAATCTGTAACAATAATCTCGTTCTTTTCCTCAACTAAACCACCAAAAAATTTAGATCGAAATTCTGGGGATCTAGCAGCCAACACCAACTTATGAGCAGGGAACTTCTCCCCAGCTACATCAAAAGTAACATCCGAACCTTCCATATTGTCCAATAGTGTGCCAAATTGTGATCCAATGTCAGTTTCCGGGATGTTAATAGAGTTACGTTGTGGACAATCAATTGCTGAAACCACAACTCCAACTGTACAGTTTATTTTCAAACAATCATTCTTGAGGAAATCAGAGCTTTCAAGTATAGACCGTCTGAAAAACCGCTTGTACCCCCTACAAAAGCACATGAAAGAGATCAACACTTCACGTATTGCATCACAACAACATATTTTAAGATTGATCTAGCATCTATATAACGAGAGCCTTGTAGAGATAACCAGGAACAGAAATCAACATAGTAACACATCAAGAACCCCTCAAAAGAAAGATGACTTTTTTCCTTTTGAACAACACATCAATCACCGTGAATAAACTTGAGAACAAGCCAGCTATCTGACCTGCATTTTGTTTTTGATGATCTATTTTCAAGGACATGATCAAGCATGATTGATAAAAAAGAGAGCAAATTATACTAACACCACCCAAGATTTCATCAAAATTTTCCTCAATACCCCTCCTTAATTGTTTGAAAAAACATTACACCAACATCTCCCCTACACTACAGTAACACCCATTGTCACCCAAAAAACACACTACATCGTGTCCGAGTGTGTATCCTATCCAGTACAGGAACTTTCCGGTAGCAGAGATATACACATAAAATAAGTACGAGAAATTTATTTAACCATTTTCCAACTTTGTGGATATCTCTCATCTAAAAGAAAATTCCAGTACCGGGGATACAAATTCATCGTGTACCCTTACTATAAGAGGTTACTGTAAAGTGTAAACATTAAAAAAAAAACATATAATCATGCACAATCTCAAGAAACCTGAAGAAATATAGTGTGATTTTTGCTCAAACAAAAAAGTATAAACTATGGCATCATCTCTTAAAATTAAAAATCAAATGAAATTTTAGCAAACTGATGCACATAACAATGACAATTTCATGGTACATGCATAAGCAAAAACTCACAAGAAATTCCGAAATTCTCTTGATATAAAGAAACCACGATAGAATAAGGATCATGAAAACTACAAACACTGAAAACACATGATATGATATAATGATATTGAGCATGAGCAATTCATCATGGAAGCATAAACCCTACCACATGCTACCCTTATACTTGAGCGTGTAGGGGCCGCTCTCGAGGGAGCGATCGAAATGGCTGTGAACCTTGTGCTTCCCCTGGCCGCTCTGGTCGAGGAGCGTGAGTTCGAAGAGCGCCCTGACGTCGGTGCCTTCGCTGGCCAAGGCGATGAAGACGGAGACGTAAGTGGAATTGTCCTCGGGGTTCTTGCCGTCGGGGTAGAAGTAGATCGCCCAGTGGTACCCTCCGACGCTGAACAAATCGCTCGCAATGTGCTTCCCCACTCCCATCCCCTTCGCCAGCGAGTACCCCTGGATCACGAACCGGTGCGAGCCGTTCACCGTCTGCGTCACCGACTTCGAACTCGTCGGCAGCGACAACGCTCCCGCCATGCCTACCGGAACCGCGAGCTCATGCGACGAGGGAAAGGGGTCTTGCGAATCTGAGGGATTTGGATTCTGAATTTTGGTTTTGATTTTGTGGTGGTGCTGCGTTGGGCGGAGAACGGAGGGGACGGGTGCGTCACGGTTTTGAGGTAATCTGGTTCACGTCAGGGGTGCCGGAATGACGTATTTGCCCCTGAGTTGGGCGCATTTTCCAGAGAGTCTGATGTATGCTGACGTGGCCGGTTCTTATTGGGAACGGGGATGCGGAGTGAGAAGTTGCTATGTCCCTACCCAAGATAGGATCCCCTGCAGTTTTCAAATGAAGGATGTACGGTAACTTTTTTTATTTCACCCTTCAATTTTGTTCAACTCAATTTTAAAAGATTGATTTTGTGTTAAATTACTTTTAATAAAAAACACTTTAGTTAAGAAAATGATATTAATAATAAATTTATATAACAATTTTATAAAAATAAAAGGATAAAGATAATTTATAGAGTAACTCTTAGACAATGATGTTGACTTGGATAAAAAAAAAAAAAGTGATGCCGATTATGTATAACTATTAAGATATGGATAAAATTTTATACATCTACACCCACATTCATATATATCTATTTATATTTATAGATATATTTATATCTATATTTTTATCCATATTTGTATTTATATTTATATAGTAATACTTTGGATTTTTCTACTGATATGTTTATTTGTTTAGTATTTTTTTTATAATCATTTAGGTTAGTATTAATAATTGTTTTAATTAATTAATTATATATAAAAATATTAGTGCTTTTATAATTAAATGATTTATTTTATTATTTGAGGAAAATATTTTGTTTGTAGAGATAAATTTTTTAATTATTAATTAGTGACAAGAAAAGTTTTAGAGGGATTTAAAATTTTATTTGTTGAACTAATAATCAACAAAAGTCCAGCAATGGAATTTCACTTTTTATATCAAGGGATTTTCTTTATTAGGTATGTAAATTTCACTATCTTTTAGTAAAAACATGAAAGATTGCAAAAATGAATGGAAATTGAATATGGATCCTCGTGCTTTTAATTATTTTAACTCTTTTTTTTTAATTATTAGGTTAATTGTAATGATGCTTTTGTTAAAGTAATTATTTAATTAATCTATTTTATAGATTAACATTAATCAATTATTAAGAAATATTCTTTAATTTATTAATATAGTAGTTATGTTAATAATTATTTTAATACCTAATTAACTAAAAAATATTATATTGGGTACTTGCGTTCTAAATGGCCTATGATGGATGTGAGACCCTACCTTTTCCTTTCCCATTTTACTTTTACCCACTCTTATTCTCACTCACACTCCCACTCTCCTTTACTCTTTACGCACTCTTTCTCTCAAAACTCTCACTCACCCTTCTTTCTCACTCGCGGATTTCTTCTTTGGTGAGCTAGGTGTTGATCAAGCCTAGATTGTATTAGCTGAGCATTTCGGAGCTTCTTCTCCTTCGTCATTTCTTCCTCTCCGTTCGTTTGCTTCTTCTCCGTTGAGTTTGCCTCTTCCCGGAGCTCGAAATTCTTCACCGAGGTAAGGAAAGTTAGTTTTGCTGCGTTTTTTGCTGAAATGAGTCTAGGAACTCATTGTGATTGCTGATGATTGATGGTTCTTGGCTAATTTGGTGAAAATGGGGTTTTAGGGGATTTCGGGGTTTGAAGAAATTTTGAGGTTTTTAATGAATTGTGTTTGCATGTTGAAAATGAGACGTTTTTATTGATGTTTGATGAAAATGGAGACTTTTGGCTGGATTGCATGCTGGCTTTCTGTTGATTTTTGCAAGTTTTGGGCAAATTTTCGAACTTGGGGAAGTTGCTGCTGAGCTTCGCGCTGAGCGCTGTTCTTCACGTCGGGCGCATGACCACCAGGGGCCTCTATTTAGGCAAGCTCGCCGGGCGCAAGGGTGTGTGCGCCAGGCGAGCTTGAGAATGAGAGCCTCTGGTTGGCCCACGCCGAACGTGACTTGAGCTGCGCCGGGCGTGATATCAATGGTGACATGTTTTGGGTGTTCTGGTATCACGCTAGGCGCGTGTTTGGACTCGCTGGGCGCGGAGGCTCCTTGGGAGTCTCTGCCAAGAGGACGTTGGGTGCAATACGAATTGCGCCGGGCCCGAGACCTTGGTAGGTCTCTGCCTTACCCACGCGGGTTAGGCCACGCTGGGCGCGTGAGACTCTTTGGAGTCTCTGCCTGGACGTGCGCTGGGCGCAAAGCTGAATTGTGCCAGGCGCGTGAGAGCCTTGAGCTCTCTGGCTGGGTCACGCCGGGCGCGAGCACTCTTGCGCCGGGCGCGCTGGCCCCTGGTGCTCTCTGGTCGTGTCACGCCGGGCGCGACCATGAGTGCGCCGGGCACGTATGAGGATGAGGTGTTATATGCTGAAATTTGCTGAAAAATGTTGCTTTATGCTGAGATGAGCTGAAACAAATGAATATGTTGTGCTGTTTAGATGAAAATGCTGATATATGATGTTAAGCTGAAATAGATGTATATTGCTGTGCTGAGTTGGGCTGTAATTGATGATTTTTAAAATGCTGATTTGTTGTGCTGTGTTGTGAGCTGTGTTTGTTGAGCTGTATGATGGTTATTAGCCACTATTGTGGTGCTGTTATAGCCGTTATGTCGGTGCTGTTATTAGCCACTATTGTGGTGCTGTTATAGCCGTTATGTCGGTGCTGTTATTAGCCACTATTGTGGTGCTGTTATAGCCGCTATGTCGGGGCTGTTATTAGCCACTCTTGTGGTGCTGTTATAGCCGTTATGTCAGTGCTGTTATTAGCCACTATTGTGGTGCTATTATAGCTGCTATGTCAGTGTTGTTATTAGCCATTATTGTGGTGCTGTTATTGCTGCTAAGTAGTGCTGATATTGTTGAATGATGTGGTGTAGTATAAGCTGTGCTGGTGTGCTGATAGCTATAGCTGTTTTCTATCATATTGCCATATATGTATATTGATTCTTTTCACTAGCTTACCTTTTGTTGTCTCTATGATGTTTGGATTGCAATGATCATACTATGTATGGGAGCAGAACAGGGATAAGTTGGTGGCTGATGGTGAGTCTGTAGCTGGCAGACAGAGTTGATCTTCTAGGATCTTTTGATGTTTAGCTACTTAGTGTAGTAGCCTTTGTTGTATTTTTGTACACTTTAACTCTATCCAGACTTGGATCATGTATATGTATATATTCTAGACCTTATATGTATACACTTGTTCCTTTCTGTGTGGTGTTTCTAGTGTGTTGTGCCGAGTGTAGTGACCATCTGGGTCGTTACAATGGATTAGATTATTCAATTTATATCTAATGAGAAGTTTTTATCCGTATATGATATATTACTTAATCATTGTCTCATTAGACAATTAATATGTACTAATGAACTAGTCGTGATTGAGAAATTATTCTCTGATTCCAGTTATACCCGTGTTTCATATAAAAAAAACTTATATTAAGTGTACAATTTCTTATTTCCTTTTCTCATACTCATCGACAATATGTTGTGATTTGTATCTATTGAATTATAGGATTAATAAGTTTTATCAACCTTTAATTTTTATTTTATTTTATTTTATATTTTATCACTTATACAAGATAAAAATAAAAAAAATGTAATTTAACAAACATATTATTATATATTTATTCTCATGTGTATTTACTTCATGTCAAATTATGAACAATTTTATAAATTTAATAATCAATGAACATTTGTTATAAAATTAAAGAAATAAGTTTGCTGCACTAACTAAGTAAAACATGAAATTATATCTCATAAAAATGATATATTTTTATATAATAAGCTAAACGTAAAAAAAATTAACACTTTTAATTTTAGATTTTTGAGGAAGTAAAAATATTTTGAACACGTTTCTTTATAAAAGTAGAGATAAATAATAAATATATATATGTTTGATATGTATTTTAATAAAAAATATACAAGTATATAAATATTAATCAATAATTTATGATTTTAAAATATTTACATATAAATATATATAAAAAATTGATCCTTAAGCCAAATTGCTGACACTAAATACCTGCACTTAAAAATATAAAAAAAAAGCATATTATTGTAATTTACAACTTTAATATTGGTAACTCGTTAATACCTAAATGTCCATACTTGCAAATGTTATATGCTCATATAAACGGCTAAATCCTTTGATGATGTAGCTTATATTATTTATTTGCTCATATAATTGTTTTATTTTTAGAAATCAAATACAATACTAAAAATATTACAATAATTTAACCAGTCAAACTAAGTAGTATCGATGCGCATAATTGTTGAATCACATTTTTATAACCGTTCTAGCAACCATATAATGTTGAGAGTACAAAAAGTGATTCACCATTAAAAAAAAAAAAGTACGAAGTAGGGAACTTAAAATCAATGGAACTTAAAACCATTATAATCAATTACCAAATCTTGTAATCAATTACCAGAGTATCTTTTCTAAAAAATTCTTGAGAGTTACAATTTTTCATGACACAACCTAATAAATACTTATCTATAAATACCTATAATTTTTCAAAAGAAAGTTACGAACTCTATTGTAAAATATTATATACAAAAACATCTTGACCAAATTTATTTGCACTATTCTAAAGAGTTTATTAAGATCAAAAAGGTTTAATTTCTACTCTTAAAAAAAAAAGTTATTCTGTAATTTCTAAATTGATCATTAAATCTATAAAAGGTTTTTCTTACACTCGTCAATCACCACTTCGTTAAATCTTTGCAAAACAAACCCCCTTGCAAGTGGTTTATTTAACCAAAATTATAAATGAATTGTAACTTTTTTTTTTCTTACAATCATAAAATAATTGTGATGTAAAAAATACTGCAAAGCAAATAGTTTCCATAAAGGGATTGAGAGGTATATCGTAATTTCGTACATGATGAATGAATGACAAGAACAGCAAGAGTTTGATATATCCACAGCCGGTTACCCATAGTAGAACATAGAGATGTTTATGCTCTACCATCTAACTGTCTTCCTGTTTCTTTTCCTGTTTCTTTTATAGACGCAATCCTTCACAAGTTGCTTTTATGATGAAAATATCAGAATTAGCCTTTTTGATGAACAGCAATTTGGTGAATGTCCATGTCCTTCAACATCACGGCTCGCCCACAAGAATCACAAGGGGCAGTCCTAGAACCACAAATACTCTCATGCTCACACAATCCTCTTAATCTGTCACGGACATCCATGGCAGAACTCCCAGCTTGAACCATATCGCCACAAAACCGGCATGTGATTAGACGCAGGTGGCAAACTGAAGCTTGATGCTCCACCTACCAAAAAAGTTAAAACAAGTTATTCAGATAGCCTGATTACTGACTTATAATATGAAAATTTGCACATTTATCATATGAATTCAGATTGCCAGATTGTATATCCCCTCGTATTGACTATGAAGTTATTGCCCACTGACTGGAAAATTAAACTAACAACAATAAGCAGACCACACTTCTTATTAAAAGGAAAACTTACATGGTAATTTATTTTTCTAATTGATAACAAAAAACAAACTTTAGGACCCCTGCACTCCTTAGATTAAGAAATAACACAAATTTCAAGAATTTCTATTTGTCCCCTTTAAATGCCTATAATTGTTGAGAGTAGTAATAAATAAGGACGAGGCTGACTGTTCACAGTTTAACATATAGGAAATAGTAAAGAAAAGGGAGAAAAAAAAAATGAGGTGCTTAGCTAGACATAAGGGACACAGGGCTTGAAAAAAATAAAATCATTATTTCGATGAGTCACTCCCAATCCCTATATTTTTAAAGTAAAATTTCAGAAGACTTGAAATGGCTTTAAACGCCACTCCTACCTATTACTAACTTTCAACTTTTAGAAGGATCCAAAATGCCAGTTAGCTAACCTTGGAAAAAACAAGTAAAATTCCACACTTAAAAGTTTGTGTAAATCAAGAAAAAATTATTCTAGTGTAATAATGTAACACTACACTTTCAACTGGAAACAGCATAATTATTCATTGCCTCCTGAACGTTGTTTCAAAATCAAAATTAAATAAGATGAACGCTTTCACCATTGATTCTCCTAATAAAACTCATCTATCACAGCAAACTACAAATTTGGACAGACATAAGGTGATAATGGCATCAACAGAACACGGTAAAATAATGGATCACATATGTAAGGCAGAAAGAAGAATAAGAACAGGCAAAAAGGGAAACACAAGCACGAACAAAACTGGCAAGAAAGGGTAGGAAACATGCAACTCACCATTTGCTCTTTCTCAAGAATTATTCCACAAGGGCAGTGAAGTGGCTCATGAAAAACTTTCATGTGCTTTTCTAATTCTGCCTGCTGGAAAGCCTGACCACATCTGTCACAGTGAATGTGGTTCTTGGACTCTTCAATCCTAAGAACAACTCCACAGCCTGCACGTTGACAGACAACATTGTGCCTGCTACAGTAAGCTTCATGCAGTGCAATAGTCCTAGTGGGTATATAATGCTTGCAGTTCCTACATTGTTGAGTATCCATTTCCATAGATGACACAGAAGATGATGCTTGCTGACCAACTTTTTGGTTGAAATTATCTTGGATCACAACCGATATTTTATACTTTGTTATTCCCTTGAAGCCATATATACCAATACTGTATGTCCCTGCACCCAAGTTTTTATCTTTAGAGCTAAGAATCAAAGTCTTTGAGCCAATATCATGAGAAGACCACTCATGCTGGTGTCGGGTAGGAAATATGAGAGGATGTCTAGAGATGAAAAGATCACTGTCCCCTCCATTTGTCTCTGATTCTAATTTTACTTCAATACAAGAATTCCCAGATGAGAGTTTCTCCCATGTGACATTGTCTATAGAAAATTTGTAATAAACAAACTTTCCTTCTTCTACTGTTCCAATTTGGGACATTCCAAATCCAACTGGCATTAAAACATGCTCATCTGTCTTTTCTGAAGACGTGTCAGGATCAACTATGTCAACTTCAATATCTGTTTCTAAAACAGACACACTTGAAGAAGGTTTTAACTCAAGGACCCTTAATTTATATGCAAGTTCTCCATAGTTTACAGTTAAAATGTCACCTTGAGAAAGAGTAGCTTGCTGCCGAAGACATGTTTCAAGGATAGCCTTATGATTTGGCAAGTCAGAAAATCCAACTCTTTCAGGTTGAAGTTTTGCATATGTACCTTTTGGAAGCCAGACATACCGGACTTCAACTAATGGAGATTTTGAAGTATCTTCAGAAAATAAATTATTCCATACATGAGGAGGAAGACCCACTGAACCTTCATCAGCAGTGAATTCTAAAACTCCTGAATGGGTGGTACCCTGTTTCTCTTTATCAGTATCTTGGATGCTTGAAGAGCTTTCCTTGTCAACTAATGACAACTGAAAGTATATGGGTCCCTTATCAAATGCACCCTGATCAGACAGTTCTGTGAAGCAAGAAGGAGGCATCTTGATCTTATCTCCACCACCTTGATAAGGTACAGCTTCTAGTAATCGATAAAACACTATTCCTCTGCCAGCAAGTAGGTTTTCTTGCATCTGTTGGTCAGCCTGAATTGAGCAAGGTATAAAAAAGGAGATCATTCATTTAGTATTTTCACATAAAAAATGTAGATATAAAAGGAAGTCTTTGCACCCACAAATTTTATGCTGGAAGGTACAATAAACATTTGTAAATGTAGGTTAGCAAGTTTATTCCAACAAGTAATGGGATAAAATATTACAAGACTACGTTTCAATATCATTTAAGGGTTAAAAGACAAAAAAATAAAGTCACACCAACTGGTTGTTACTTGGTAACATTCCAACAGGTTATTGCAGAATAAAAACCATTCATGGACATGTACTTGATAGCTTAATTTTTTTTTGTTTTGAACATGGTATTGAATACTCTTTGACCAACTGATCAAAAGTTCCATGTTTGATATAATTACATTAAAGCACAGGATAAGGTGAAGGTGAGCCTGTGCATTACTTCGACATCAAAGGGTTATTGCTTAAACGATCATGTTAGAGACTAAACTCTTTTTAGACCACCACCTAACAGTTCAAACTTTATGTGCAAAGTGGTTGTTTGGTACCTACCAGATCTTGCTCAGTATACCACTTTCGAAAGTTTGACAATCGCACCACAATACCACATCACAAGCATATTCAGGTGCTTACACTAGTTAGGGGCATACAAGAATCCAGCATGGGCTATTTCGAACAGTCCAGAATTAGAACTTTCCGATGCGCATAATTGTTGAATCACATTTTTATAACCGTTCTAGCAACCATATAATGTTGAGAGTACAAAAAGTGATTCACCATTAAAAAAAAAAAAGTACGAAGTAGGGAAATTAAAATCAATGGTGAAAAAAAGTCATTTAAAATCCTAATCCAATACACCCCCCTTACTATCTCCCTTTAAGAAATTGATATTAATAATAAATTTACTATGTCACCTATTTTATTTAGTTATTTTTCTTTTACAATATTTTTCTTGATGTAGGTGTCCATAGGATGGCGAAAGGAGAGTGTCCCAGAAGCGGTAGGTGGTGTGATGAAGTGTCTGCGCGACCCCTTGCGCCGTCAAGGGACACTGGTCCTTGGGGTTATGGCTCCCATCGTATTATTCGTACCTTGGAATTAATTAATTATTTAAATAATAAATATGAAGTGTAGTTCATGAGTGAGTTATGAGTTATGACACGACACCACCCATACCTATCCAATACTATACCCTACGAAACAATGATCTCTGTCATTGACGCTCTCCAAACGGTCCTTAACGCCTCGAAACGTCTTTCCCCGCTCACTGTGCCCCTCCACGATGCCCTGGGCAAGGTCCTCGCCCAAGACGTTCGCGCCCCCGACCCTCACCCTCCCTACGCCGCCTCCGTCAAAGACGGTTACGCTGTCGTCGCCGCCGATGGCCCCGGCGAGTATCCCGTTGTCGCCGAATCAAGAGCAGGAGATGATGCTCTCGGCGTCACTCTCTCCCCTGGAACCGTCGCTTACGTCACTACTGGAGGTTTACTTTTCCGCTTCGATAATCCTTCTCGCAATTTCTCTCCTAAGCCAAAATTAACTTTCGAATTCAGCTTGTACATTTTGAATTAACTTTTTCACGGTTATTTATTGGAGTAGATAATAATAAAGTAAAATAAATTGAGTTTTCTGTCCTAAGATGTAAGCTGAAATCAATTTATGCATTTCAGTTTTTTTAGAAACGTTAGATGAGATGATTCCGTGGAAGTTGAATTTGACTTGCGGAAGAAGCATAATTCGTTTTACTTATTTTCTTTATAAGTGCTTATGGAGATGTTTGTTCGATATCCGATTAGAGTGTTATTTGTTTATATTTATTGGTTTGTGGTTAATCTTCTCTCTCGTGTTTTTTGGTTGGTTCAGGACCCATTCCTGATGGTGCGGATGCAGTTGTTCAGGTTGAGGATACTGAAATAGTGAACGATGTCTCTGACGGGACTAAGCGGGTCAGAATATTGGTGCAAACCACCAAAGGCAATGATATACGCCCGGTGGTATGTTCTTATACTCATTTGAAGTGGTTTTTATGATAATCTTGACTATATGCTTTGCGTATAACATTTTTAATGTCACCTAACTTGACACTGATTCATTGTTCTCTAATTTTAAGTTCTCTATAATATTGAAGTTTTGCTTATTTGTTTCCACTGCCTTTTGGTATTCATTGTCAGGGATTTGATATTGAGAAAGATGCTGTAGTGTTGACATCTGGAGAACGGTTAGGTGCTTCAGAAATTGGCTTGCTTGCTACAGTTGGTGTGACGATGGTTAAGGTATTATTTTAGAGAGGTTATGGGTTCTGTAACCAAGCAAGCTTCTCCCTGTAATGGCAAATAGTTTTTGTTTGATTCCCTTGGCTGGGGTTCCTTGTTTGGATAAATTTCTGCATAAATAATATAGTGAAAGAAAATAAATTGAGCTTCTGCCATAAGTTAAATCAACTTCTCTTCTAAATATTTTTAAAGAAGTTTATCCAAACAAGACCTATATATTCTACTATTAACTATTAAGTATTGATTTATGTAATGATGGGAAATAATGCTTTGATGCAGGTGTATCCTACTCCAACAGTTGCTGTTCTTTCTACTGGGGACGAGCTTGTGGAGCCAAGCACTGGGCATCTGGGCCGTGGTCAGGTATTATTATGGTGTATTAGGGTTAGTGAGATAAGTTTATGAAAATGCTTAGCAGGAACAATAAAGTTATCAGTTATTCGAACTATCATGTGGAAGCTGGTGGTTATAACTGACTAAAATTCCTTGTCAGCTTCAGATCTTTTTCTTAAAGGATTATTAATGTCATAATGTTTGAATAAATTACTAAATCCTTATCTGAATCAACCTATATCTTAGAGGTAATGCAAAGTTGCCAATAGTCCAACATTAATTTGGCTGCTTATTTTGATTTTATCGTTAATAGTTTTTTGAAGAATGAGGGTTCAACTACGCATTTGAACTCCATAATGGACCGTTAATACTCAAACAGCTTATTTGAGGCTTAAGCCTGTTATGGCACTATAATTCTAATAAATGTTGTTTTGGATATAAATTTCTTACTCTTTGCTAATTTTTGTTTAAATTTGTTGGACAATATAGCATGTGTTTTAATGCGTTATTCAACAACCGATTTGTGGACTATCTGTGTTAGAATAGAATAACTGATTGTGTTCTTTGTAGATAGCTTAACTCATGTAGGTCCAGGTTCATTCAATGGACTTACTGTACTGTATTTTTCCTTCTTTACTGTTTTTAATTCTGTTAAGCTTCTGTTAGGATTCAGTTACACCTGAATCGATTCCTGTTGCCTATATATACTAGGCTTGATATGCTTCTTTCAGAATATATACAAAATATACAGTTCATATCATATTTCTCTCTCTCTCTCTAGAATTCTAATGTGGTATTAGTGCATATTAGAACCTATCTTGACGATCATTAGTGGGCTTATCAAGCCACCCGTTACTGGACTACCTACAAGGTACAATCCTATAAACTTCATGCTCGAGATGTTAAATCCTCGGCTTGAGAGTATGTTGGAGATCCCACATCAACTAAAAATGAGACCATAATAGTGTATATAAATAGGGAGCAATCCTCACCATACAAGCCGGTTTTGGAAGGTTGAGTTAGCCTTCAATCCACTTTCTTAAGATAGTATCAAGAGCTAGTTGATACATATCCATGACTTCCGCACCATAACCAATTTCTTCTCACCTTCCCTCTTTTGCGATCACCACTTTCTCTCTCGCGATCACCACTTTCCCAATGGAGATACAACGAATTAATGTTTCCACCGCGATTCCCAACGGAAGACAGTCGCGATGCTAGAAATGTTAATTTGTTGTATCCCCATTGCTGCACTGATTCTCTCACGCATTATTGGATGCATGCATTCCTGATAGCTTTGGGACAAATTACACAATTACTTCAATGCGCACATGTACGTGTGATATCGGATGCTTCGCATCGAGTTACAAAATTCAAAAAAGGATGATTGACCGATTTTGGAGTACATTTTGCGCATCAAAGCTATTGTTAATGCACTTTGTTCGATAAGAGATCATATTTTTGTTCAAGAACAGTTGGATGTCATTGTTGAGGGCCTACTGGAAGAGTATGATTCGTTGATGAACTTGAAGCTCTTTTGCTCGCTCAGGAAGTGTGTTTGGAAAGGTATCACAAGAACACAACTGTTACAACCGCTGTTCATCTTTCTCAATCTATATCAAAGGACGAATCTGATTCTGTTTTGAAGCAACCTCATGCTAATGTTGTGAACTACTCGCAATTGTATGCAACAAACACTAACTATCAACAAGGACGCTGTGGAAGAGGACATGGTCGCAACCATGGTGGTCGCAATTCTATGAAGTGTCAAGTTTGTAACAAGTTTGGCCTCACTACTTCCAATTGTTATTATTGATTCAACCCTAACTATGCTCCCTACAACAATGGTTTTGGTCAAGGTTATAATTTTGGACATCCGCCTAACTACTTCCAACAGTTTGGAAACAATTCCAATTCAAATTAGCAAGGTATCAATACTTTTGGCGCTAACAACAATGCTCCGGTCAACAACAATATCTCATATGCTCCAAAGGCTTTCACCTCCAATATCAACTACAATGGTCCTTTTGTTTGGTACCTTGACTTGGGAGCTTCACACCATGTGACTCCTAAACAAATTAACATTTAGCAATCTGTTCCAATGAAGGTCTAGATTAGTTACTAGTTGGAAATGGATGGAGTCTTCCTATAGCTTCTTCAGGTTCAACTTGGTTTTCTTCCCCTGTTAATCCTAGAGTTCAACTTGTTTTTCATAATCTCCTTCATGTTCCTAATATTACTAAAAATCTAGTTAGTGTGAGTAAATTTGCACGAGATAATAATGTCTTCTTTGAGTTTAATCTTAAAATTTGTCTTGTGAAATGTTAGGGTTCCAATGAGGTTTTTCTCCAAGCTGAACTTGGTCGGAATGGACTTTACAAGTTCTCAAGTCTTCGGATTCCTCTTGCACAAAGAAATCAATGTAGTTTTCCTATTGTAAACACTGTAACTTCTGTTAATACATGGCACTGCAGGTTAGGCCATCTGAATAAAGACATTTTGCGCCTCGTTTTACAACATTACAATGTTTCCAAATTTAAAAAAAAATGACTTAGAATTTTGTTCTTCATGTTGAATGGGCAAAGCACATCATTTGCCTTCACATACCATCTGATGAACAATTTGCATATATTCTAACTAAAGCTCTATCTCCTACAAGGTTTAAATATCTTCAGGACAAGCTGAATGTGTTACTAGTTGTATTCTTTGTAGATTGCTTAACTCATGTAGGCCCAAGTTCATTCAATGGACCTACTGTACTGTATTTTTCCTTCTTTACTGTTTTTTTAATTCTGTTAAGCTTCTGTTAGGATTCAGTTACATCTGAACTGATTCCTGTTGCCTATATATACTAGGCTTGATGTACTTCTTTCAGAATATATACAAAATATGCTGTTCATATCAGGATTCGCTCTATCACTATAGAATTCTAATAATCTGTTTGAGTTTTTGCCATAATTTATAAAAATTGCTGGGTAAATGTAATTAAAATGAATGTGAGCTAATATAGTTCCTTTGCAGATTAGGGACTCTAATCGTGCCATGCTGCTGGCAGCTGCAGTTCAGCATCAGTGCAAAGTTCTGGACTTTGGTATTGCTAAGGATGACAAAGAATATCAAGGAAAGATCTTGGATGAAGCTTTTGCTTCTGGAATTCATATCCTTCTAACTTCAGGAGGTGTTTCAATGGGAGACAAAGATTTTATGAAGCCTTTGCTTGAAAAGAGAGGAAAAGTACATTTTGATAAGGTTATGCCATTCTTTTATTTGATAGTTTATTTATTAAAAATATTCCAGAGTCTCTGACATCCTGTAATTTGGGCCATGGATGCAATGCCTTTGTTGTAGTTGTAGAAGTAGTTAAATCATAGATTTTTCTGTATAATGTTTTGGTGAGTATATTTCTGTAAATCATGTTATCTTAATTTAGGAATTTTCTATCTTTCAGGTCTGTATTAAACCTGGCAAGCCATTTACGTTTGCAGAGATTGACCTTCAATCAACTGATAGTAAAATTCTAGCTTTTGGGCTACCAGGAAATCCCGCCAGCTCTATAGTTTGCTTCCATCTCTTTGTGGTCCCTGCTATACGCCACCTTGCGGGGTGGACAAATCCTCATCATTTGAGGTTACATAATTTCCAAAGTACTATTGTTTTAGGATGGTTTGCTTCCTTTTGGATCCTTTCATTTCTTTTCCATGCAGGGTACAGGCTCGGCTTTGTCAACCCATAAAGACAGATCCAGTTAGACCAGAATATCATCGTGCTTCTGTTATATGGACTGACAATGATGGAACAGGCAATCCAGGGTAAGTTGACAATGAATTATTTTGTTCTGGTTTGGGTCTAGATGAATCTATGTGCAGATCTGTTCTCTTGATTGCATTTGGTTTTATTTATTCGTAAGGGGGGGGGGGGTGGATGGGTTATTATGTGGAGGATTGGAGGCGCTGTTGCTATATTTGATTTGGTCTCTATAATGAATGATTTTTTTTATTCTGTCAATGAATCTCAGTTTTGTTGCTGTGAGCACTGGTCATCAGGTGAGCAGTCGACTGCTTAGTATGAAGTCAGCTAATGCCTTGTTGGAGTTTCCAGCAACAGGCACTACAATTTCTGCCCGGACTGCTGTGTCAGCTATCATAATTTCTGACATAAGACCCATGGCATGTGATGAGAATCATAAGTCATCAGACTCAGCCTTAGCTTTGCCAGGAATTAAATCAGATAAAATAACTACCGATTCTTCAGGGGATGCTGAAGTCAGAGTGGCTATTCTTACAGTTAGTGATACAGTTGCTATGGGGGCTGGCCCAGATCGAAGGTAGTCTTCATTTTATATTTTATACAGGTATATGCAAACAAAGATACATACATAGAGCCGAAAATCAGGATTTAAGCATTTTTTTTAGCCTATTTGGATTTGTTTTTTGAATGAGAGAAGCCCCTTATCCTTCATTGATTTTTTTGGTATTTGATCAATTTATGAGGAATATTTAAGACAAATAGTTTTTATACTTTCTAGATAAAGAAGCTTCTAGATGTTTGTTTCTTATGAAATCTTGTAGAAGCAGAAATTCCATACCTTTTTTTTTTCCTTTTTCCTCTCTTCATGAAACTTACAATACCATAGAAAAGGTTTATGAGGTGATGACCATATTCATCATATCTGTTCTTGACCTCCAAAATTACTAGGAATTATTGTTGTTACTTCAATGCATCTAGTATACCCTTCCAAACCAAAGAATTTTTTTTTTCTTCTGTGTATACTAAAGGAATAGAGCAATGTGGCATTTGTTATCATTAATGCTGGATTTAGGTATGCCATCTGAAACAACATTCATGTGTTAAAAGAGTCAAATTAGCCAATGTTGTGTAATTGTTAAATCATCTTCCCAGTTGGATATTCATATTGCTGAATGGCATCTAGATACACCTCTTTGAATCATTGTTTGGAAGAGGTCACAAAGTTGATGCAAAACTAAAGCAAACTTGATATTAGTCAATGCCAAAAGGGGCATTGGATGTACTGAGCGTTTTGCAACAGCCTTAAATTTGAAATGCTTGAAGTAAAAAATCAGTATTGGGCATTGATCTGTTGTAGTGTAGAGTGTTCTTTTGACTGCAGAATGTTATTTACATTGTATCTGGTTGAGGCTTAATAGGATTGATTTTCACACATCTTTGTATAACACATGGGGTTTATAGTATTATAGTATTTGTGAAACATTTTACCTAAATTTACCAAACTCACCATAAAGTAAAGCCTATGTCATTTTTTTTTTGGGGGGTGGGGGGGGGGAGTTAGTTTAATATCAATTAGAAAGAAAAAAAAAGGTTTGATTGCCAAGTTGCTCTGGAAGCCTTGTCTCAGTCATCCTTGGGGTTATTCTAAAATAGTATCCCTTTGTACTGGAACTCTTGGTTTCAAGTTGAGTCCTTAAAAAAGAAAATGAAAGTCAACTATTACTATTAGAGATGTGGCCTGTGATTTTTATTTATGAATTTTCTGCATATATTAAAGTGAGGTTCCTCTAGAGATTTCCCCTAGCCAAAATAATTGGAATAGGATGGATAGATTGTCATACATCAAAAGAAATAAATTTGTATGTTGTTGGTATCTTTCCCTTTTGTGACATAAAGTTATTTTAATTTAGATTATTTGATTTTATGAAAAATCATTAGTTTTTCATAGTGAAAGATTTCATGCTAAGCATGTTAGCTGATGTTTAGTTGAACTTGTTAAATTAATTGTTGAACCAATGATTGAACTGGATAATATAATAAAGATGAATCTGACTAGAGACACAGCTGGTTAATGATTCAATCGGTTCACCCAGGTGGTTTAGTCATGTTTTTAAATCATTGATGTTGGTGTCAAAATGTGCTGACTCCTTTACAATTAAAACAGTGGTCCCAGGGCAGTTTCTGTTATTAATTCTTCTTCAGAAAGACTAGGAGGAGCAAGAGTTGTAGCAACTGCTGTGGTTCCAGATAATGTGGCAAAAATTCAGGACATTCTAAGAAAATGGAGTGATATTGAACAAATGGATCTTATAATTACTCTTGGTATGTTTCTATCTAACTTATCAGCTTCACTAAAGAATTTGAAATGTTTTAGTTTTGTTGTGTTGACTTCTGTTGAATTTTTGCCTTACCGATCAAGGGGGGACTGGCTTTACCTCAAGAGATTTAACGCCAGAAGCTACAAAACCATTGATTGAAAAAGAAACACCTGGTCTTCTACATGTAATGATGCAAGAGAGTTTAAAGGTAGGGACATCTATGCTTATGTTAGTCAGATGAGTAATTCTAGTTTTGTCTTTTGCGTTCTTTGGTTTCTTACTTTCTTTCTTAATACAGTTTTTTATAACTGTTATTTTATATTTTCAAATCAGTGTTCAAAGAGCTCAACCTGACTGATTGACTGAGCTGGTCAGTCTGCCATCAGTCTCTGCTATAATGGCTATGACTATAAACAGAAGTCTATATTTTTGGAATAATGCTACTTTTTCCAAAGTTCTATTCACAAGCTTCTTGCTTTTTTATATGTTTGGACGAGGAGTAATAATTGTAACGCATTCATTTCATAACAAAGTAAAGAAATGAGTTGGTAATTAAATAAAAAATGAGTTTGTCAAGAGCTTGTGTATAAAGTTTATGGGAGTGGCGATGCTCACGTTTATTATGTCTATATGTTTAAAGAAAGATCGACTTTTTGTGTTTTAATCTTCTCTTCAGTCTGTTTGAATAATGATGTTTTTTCCATGCTTAGTTATGTTGATACCATATGCATTCAGGCCTGCTTCTTAGGCAAGTGAGGAGTCCGTGTTTGTTGATTTCTAAAAGCATAATTATTCATGTTTAAATAGGTGACCCCATTTGCAATGCTTTCACGTTCTGCTGCTGGAATCAGAGGATCAACCTTGGTAAGGCAAAAATGCCAATTATATTAATAGCTACTTTAAAAGTACAGTACGGTAGCTGTGCTTTGTCTCCCCACTCCCCCAGTTTTTTCACCTCATTTTAATGTTATAATTGAAATTGCTTTGTGACTATACCTTTTTATGCATCTTACAAACAAAACAATATAGTGTTTCATGTAAGAATGTAAATATGCCAATCTTCTTCTCTTCCTCTTATCCTCATCTAGAAAAACAATAAATCCTGAGTAAGTGTGAATTGAGCAGCTCAAATGCCTTGTTAATTTGTAAAAGAATATTTCATCTCAATAATGGGTAATCTGTTTTTTTTTTTGGAACATTCTTTGTTGGTTTTGCAGGGTTCTCCTTTTCTTTTTATGGGCTGTTCTAGGAAAATGTCTTATTCTCCCACTTGTAAAGTATCCTGTCAGTAGCAACAAACGAGAAAGTAATTAACTGTTATTTGATGGCAGAAAAATGTTTTGTTTAAACATTTAGAAAGTCCTTTTAGTCATAAGTTAATTAACTGAGGGGGATGGCAAGAAATAGCAGATAATAAAGGACGAACACACCTAACATGATGATAGTCCTGCTTATTTATCTAAGGAATATCAAAAGGGATATAACCTCCATGGCTTGTTAGATTGTAGTTATATGAGTTTGAAGGTACATATTGTTGTAGTTAAACAGTTACAAATGTCATCATATAGACTTTGAAACCTTTATTATATGTTAATTTTTATTTATGACTAGTTACTTAAGTTTCATTTATTTAGTTTTGGTATACACCTTGTCTGCTAATTGGTGCTGCATTAGCGTTGTATCATATGTAGTTAAGGAAAGTCTGCGTTTCTTCTGGACTTGTATTTTCTGGTCAAGTTTTGGTCCCTGATTTGTTGAAATTCAGATCATTAACATGCCTGGAAACCCAAATGCTGTTGCTGAGTGTTTGGAAGCTTTATTGCCAGCACTTAAGCATGGGCTGAAGCAGCTCAGGGGAGACAAGAGAGAAAAACATCCTCGTCACGTTCCTCATGCTGAAGCAGTTCCTGCAGATGTGTGGGAAAAGAGTTATAAGTTAGCCACTGGCGCTGGCTCCGACGTTTCTTGTTCCTGTTGCAAGTGAAGTTAACTATATTTTCTCATTTCCTTCAGCCTCGTGCCCCCATGTTTCTCTAGGGAATAGTTACAGTTATCATCCAATGCTCGAAAATTTTATCTTCATGTTTGATCATAAAACTAAAATTTTGAATGGTGAGAATCCTAATTAACTGCAAGATGATTAAAAAAGACACACAAAATATGAGGAGAATAGAATTATGTATTGTTATCTTTAAAGGCAATTTGATAGATCGATTTTTTTTTTCTTTCCAAAAAACATTGAAAACTATGCAAAGAAAGGTTAGTCTTGGGATGATAGAATATTGTATTAAGACTAATGAGTAATGATACAATGAAAATAAGTTTGAGGAGAAATTTTGTTTTTCCTTTTGAAAAATATTTCAGAATTTAATCTTTCTCTCTGTTAGAAACATGGACAAGCAGTTGTAAGTTAAAAAATATCACAAAATATTTATATCGGCTCACCCTACGTTTCAAAGTTACATCTAGTCAGTCCTTGACAGAACCAAGATTTCTATTTAGACGACCGGAAGACAAAAAGAAAATACGTAAGTATTTTTTTGAATGAATCTCTTTTGGTATTACATGCATTTTTTTTTCAAAGAGAGAAAATATAATTATTGGCTTATGATATGTAGTAAGAATGAAAAAGAGATTTCTTATAAAAAAAAAAGAATGAAAAAGTGATTGTTGTTTTAAGTCTCTAGCTAAAGAATATATTTCGAGAGAATGTGAGCTAGTTAGTTAGGATTTGGAGTTAATTCAGTTTTAAAGTAGCTATCATTTACATTCTCTTCAGAAAAAAAAAAATGGATACCAAAAGTGTAATAGTTGGACGCAATTATGCATTTGATGATTTTGAATGTCGTAGCTATATCTTAAAATAAAATCGTGAATGTTGTTTTTCTTTTTTAATTGACACTTTGACAGAGGCTTTTAGAGTAGGTGGATATTTTCATTTTTGTATGTGATAAATTGACTTTATTTGAATGACTGTACTATTATGTCTATTGTTATGTTAAACCATAATGTTTGAGATCGTCATATTTTCTGAGTTTGACCATATGTTTTGTGTTATTTTATGATTTTATCTAACAATGGTGGAATATTCGACAACCCCAAAATGAAATAGTTTTCATATTTGTTAGATTGTTAGATAGCCATAGGATGAAGTTTTCAGATTTTTGCTTCGTATGGTCTTAGAATGACTTTTATGAGAAGACGACTTGCCACTTTTTTTCTCTCTATATTCTTAGAGTGAATATGTTATCATATAGGCACATTTTTATTTATTTATTCAATTACTATATTTGTTATCAATTAAAACTATAAAGTCGAATCGATTTTTCATCAACAATATTCGTGATTAAAAGATATTGTATGATGCAAAGACACGGAAAATAATGCATGTTTGCTCATTTGCTAGATAATTATTTTTTAGTTTAAATTTGATGCATTGATATTGTTAAAAAACATAAGCTATCTTCTTGAATCAAGTCAGTTTGTAAAGTTGCAACACATTAATTATTAATGCATGGGTTTGATTTCCACTAATGAGTTTTGCCTTTCTCAATCCACTATCTCATACCCTTTTTATTTAAAGTCTTGCTACTAGCCCACTTCCGAGTTTTCTCTTGGATTGAAATAAAATGTATTAATGAGCATGGTTGTTTATTATTTTTTTAAAAAGCAAATTTTAGAGATGTTTAAGAATTGTTTTTAATAATCTGAAGCAGAAAAGAAACATAAAACTAATTGCTTCTCAAATAAAGCAGCTGTTAGAGAGATGAAGTTTTAAAAAATTATTGGCGTCCAAAAAAAAGTTTTAAAAATTACACTTTGTAAGCGTAAACAAATACAAATCAGCTTCTGTATATGTAAAAATCTCTTAAAAATAGATTACTTGTTTTAAAACCATAATTTAAGCATAAACAAACGGGTTCAATATCTAATGATGCGTTGACACGTAAAATAAAAATGAGAGGTGATGTTAAATTCGTTAATGATTTGGTAACATGTTAAATTTAACAAAGTAAATTTTTATTGAATGAATTTTTATTTTATTTTTGATATAGTAAATGTTTTTCCCTTGCATCTTCTACTCAAATCTTTAGTGATAGATTTTAAGAAGGCAATCCACGGGAAAATATACTGCAGAATTTGTCAAATTTAATTGTAGATATGTATAATAAGAAATACAATGCAACAGAAACAATTACAATGAACTCAAATATAGTTTTCAGTTCAGAACTCTGAAAGTATTAAACTTTGACTTTATTCTTTTATTGAAATTATGCATTTACACGCAAATTAACAGTGTTCTCTTTACGTGTACTAGTACCCCAGGAAGAAAATCACAGCTCTAGGAAATATGGTTCTTCAGGTTCAGAGGATGATGTGAATGCATTTCTTGCATAAAGGCCAACATATCCCACAAGGGCCACAACCAATAAGACCAGCATCACCGATTTCGCCAACTTCTTCCACTTGTTCTTCCCTACATTCGAATCTTGATTACCAACCTGATTAGGCCCAAAACTGTGGGTAAAATCTACTAGCCTAGTTTTGGTTCTCGAAACAAGCCTATTTTTAGGAGCTTTAGATGTTTCTGCTTCTTTTGTCTCGCTTGAGCCATTAGTCTTGGCTTCCTGAGGCACGTTGTCTTTGCTATCTGTTGTTTCAGTTTTGCCTTGCTCTTGTTTTGGGTCAGATAGTTCACCATTGGTCTTTTCTTTTGGGCCATCTTCTTGGGTACCCTTTTTCTGCTCAACCTTTTGTGGCGTTTCCCGGGGCTGACTCAGTTTGCCAAATTTGATTGATAGCTTGGCACCCTCAAACTTGGCAGTCACGTTGTCGGTGTCATAATCAGAAAGAATGGGCAATTCTAAGTTAAAACGACGCCATCTGTTCTCAGTTATCAATCGTTCACCCATTAGCCTTAGGGTAGACTTTGAGGTCACTTGAACCTTCATTTGATCCCTTCTAAAACCTGTGATATTAGGATTATTATATTTTATGAAAAAAGGTGATGGGATTAATTCATTGCAATTAGGATTCATTTCTATATAAAAACCACATTGAAGATGAACGTTACCTATAAATATAAACTATTGCTTTTATTATAACAATGAGCTGATATGATTATTCCACTAGGTTAGTTTTGAAAAGCTGAAAAAGCATTTACCTACCTGGTAGCAAAACATTGACAAGCCTTTGATCTCTATCCCATTCATAAAATGGTTCAAAGTCTTCATAGACACGATCAGATGATGATTGTATCCTTGAACCCATTTTAACCTTAATTTGTTTCTCTTTGGCTTTTGCGTTCGATGTGTATTTGGCTCTTGGTGTTGGTATTGAATTGCTTCTAGTGCTTCTTTTATATACCCATAGTTGATGAGAGACAATTAGGACCAAGTTGCACGCAAATTGTTTGCTTTCTTTTCGTAGGTGCAAACATTATTAGATTGTCTGACACAAGAAAAATAATATGCTTTAGTACTGAGAGGAGGTGACCTCATTCCTTGGTGATGCCAAAGCCTAAAAGCAATATTTTGTTCCCATTGCAAATCTTTAACCGACATAATATATCTTTTTTCCATCGCAAGATATACTACCTTCTTACGTGTTTTTTAATTCCCACGTGTAAATCGCCTCTCCATGTCTTACAACTTTAACTTAAGAAGATTTAATTCACTACTATTTAAGCTAATATACTTTAATAGTGTATTTGGTAAGGTGTTTAAGGAATTTACAAATTCTTTCAATTAGTTTATAATTTTTTTTATACTACTTAAAAAATTAAATTCAAATTAAAACTTAAACTGTTAATTATATTATTTAATAAAAAAAACATTTATTTTTTTTTTGGTAAGCTTAGGTATCTTCAAACTGAAAATTAAAAACTAATTATTTAAAGTACTGAAATCTATTTGAAAAGTTAACTTCTCTTGACGGTTTTTTAATACACAAAGAATAAAATTCTTGATTTTATGTTTAAGAGACAATATTATTTACCTATTATAGTACACTTTATTAATTATTTATATTATAATAAGATATTTAATTATTTCAATAACTAAAATACAATAACTAAATGTAAGAGACATTTTCCCTATTTCGAATCACATTTGGGATGAAATTTGTTATATATAGGACCAAACTTTTTTTCTAAAACAAACAATGAAAATTGAGAATTTCTGACATGCTTCTTTCCTTATTTGCTTTCCTCTATTTTTATCCAAAGAAACAAAGAATTAGTGTTTGAAGAGATGTAAATTGAATAGGACATACTTTTTTTCATTAATGGTATTTGGATATAATTTGTTTACATCATTAATCCTATATCATTTTATGTTTTTATTTATTTATTTTATCATCAGTTATCAGTTTATGTTTTTAAGTAATAAAACAAGAATACATTTTAAAAATAAATAAAGTGTCAGGAATTTTAATGCGAAAATATTAATTTATTTTAGTTTTTCATCTTTCTAGTACTTTTTGATAGAGGAAAAAAATGTATGCCGGAAAGTATATAGTTATCTTGTTTATCATATATCCAAATAGAAAGTAATGTAAAATGCTCTAATAAAAGGATGAGTAAGTATTGTTTTTCTTATAAATTGACTAGACTTAAATTTTGTTGTGTCTGTGTTATTGACTAACTTTGCTAATGTTTTAGGTATACATATGATATAGGTTATAAACTAAAAAAATTATGCATATTCCCACATACGCACAAAGTAAAGAACAATTTCTTTTTATCACAATCGCATCCTTTTATTTCCCTTAACTTTTGTATTTGTTACCACGACTCACATATTTCTTTTATTCTGAAGCGTTACCATTTACTTCACTATGTCCATTATTGCCTTTTTTGTAATACCAAAACATTTATATATATATATATATATATATAATATGAAGAGAGATCTGTTTACTCAGGATTAAGTCTACTTAAATTTATTCTGTTTAATAACTTATGTTCTACATCAAATTTCAACGATCCAACCATTTAATTTAAAGTTCTTAATGCATAAATCAAATATGCAAATTTTTAAAAAAATTTAAAATTATTTAATACTTTGTTTCATTAATTTAAATTAATGTATAAAAGATTTTATAATTATCCATTAATTTGAATTAATAAAATAAAGTATTAAATGATTTTCAAATTTTTTAAAAATTTACAGACTTAATCTATAAATTAAGAACTTTAAATTCAATAGTTTGATGATTCAAATTTGATGTAGAATATAAGTTATTGAATGAAGTAAGTCTAAACTTACTCCTGAAATAAATGAATCCCTCCTATATATATATATATATATATATTTATTAATCTTAACGCAACTGATTATTCCGAACACGTACTATAATTTGTGCATACTAATTGTTCGTAAATTTCAATGGGGACTCTCATCTGCATCATTCTTCATAAATTGCAGTATAAGGACATTTTTTTGTAGTGAATATTTATATACAATTTTATGATGGCTTTGTAAATATATATAAAGAAATCACATCAAAATTAGCCAAAAACACGCAGAAGCTACAAATATTAACGTGATGAGAAATTCAAGCATATATAGGGATTAGGGATTTACTGCCCCTACTTTTCATACGGGATATATAATACAAGATAATCTTCCTATTATACTTATGCTTCTAATTAATTTGTCACGTGTTTTTTAATTGAACAACCTTTTGTTAATTTCTTGTGATCTATAAGAAATATATATTTAGTAGTAGTTAGTATTTAGTGCGTACTATCTATTAATTGATGCTTACTTAAAAGTATATTTATTAGTAGTAAGTATTATCTGTTTCATGTGACCAAAGCACTATAACATATACATAAATTAAAAGGAATTTGTCACTTATGAATTGCAATCATAGAAATTGACTTGCATGCATTGCTCGAACCGCACGCACACAATAAGAGTATCGATTATTGTTTTGAAACCTAAGTCCAGTGAACTTGTAAGACTCAAATCCTTGCATCTGTTAAGGCTATAAATTGCACTAAGTAGAGTTGAAATGTTACTTAAGAATTAAACAATTCTTATTCAAGTAATTCATTATTTTTTTTCAAAAAAAGAAAGAAAGTGAATTACATAGGGAAAACTGGTCATTTTGAATACAATTATTCAATAAGACCAGTTAATTATTTTTACTCCTTTATTGAACTCAATCATGCGTTTACAAGCATGAATTAATACGCATGTATAAATTAAAATTCATCGAATTGATTTGTTCCTCCCTGAGATGATGACCTGAATGCATTTTTGACATACAACCCTAACACCATAACCAATAAGATGGCCACAACAATGTTCATCCATATCTTTGGCCTCTTAATTAGCTTTGCACACTTACCAACACAAAACCCTTTTTTAACACCACCCTGGTGATCTTGATCTGCTGATCTCAAACTCACAGTGAAATCCAAAACCCTAGTTTTCAGCCTCTGAGTTATCTTTTGCTTTGCCCTTTCTAAATCCTTTGTGGTTGTTCCTTCTTGTGCTGTCTCTGAGACCTTCTTTTGAGCAACTTCTTTAGGTGCCACTTTTTCTTCTGCTTTGTGATTCTTTTCTTTGTCATCACTAATTGTCTCATTCTCTTTCTCTGCTGACTCTTTTTTGTTCTCTTCTTTTCCATGACTAGTTGGTTCTTTCTCTTTCTGTGGTGGTAACTCTTTCTTATCAACCTCATCATCTTGTTGTGCTGCTTCTTTCTCTTTCTGTGGCGTTGGAATTTGCTGTGGCTGAGGCTTAGCAGGAGTTATCAGCTTGGGAAACTTGATGCTTAGGACACCACCCTCAAACTTAGCATTAACATCATTGGTGTCACAATATGGGGGAATCGAAAATTCTTTAGAGAAACGACGCCGCTTGTTCTCGAAAATCTGTCGTTCACCATTGATCCTAAGCACAGGAGTTGAGGTCACTTGAACCCTCAACTGTTCCTTTGTGAAACCTGTGCATGTTCAAAGTATATACATAGAATAACATGTAAAAATTTATGAATGTACGAATTAGGTCTTTGACACATAGTTGAGGCTTAGGGTTTAATATAAAATATTCTTATATAAGAATGGAATAGATTATATATATTAATATTTAATCTTTCTATGGGGATTAATAAAAGTATTAATTAATAAGTTGTTAATTTAAATGAAATTAAAATTTATTTTTTTAGGTAAGATTTTTGTTTTGAATCTTATCGATAAAAAAAATGTAATTAAAAAAAAAATATCTAAAATTCTGAAAGAAATTATTAGTCATTAACTAACCTGATTATCAAAAGAAAGTAGGATAAAAGAAGTTACCTGGCAGCATTACAGTGAGCGTGGCACTTGTTTCGTCTTCAGACCATTCAAAAAAGGGATCAAAATCTTGGTAAACATGATTAGCTACTGTTCGTTCCATAGTTGCTTTTAATTGTTGTTCTTGATCTTTTGCTTTTGGCTCTTTTGTTGGAGAATGAAAGCTATGGCAGTGTGCTTTTATATGCACATTGATGGGAGATTAAATTATTTAATTTATATATGCATTTTTGCACGCAAATTCTAGTTCCTGTAATTTCTCTTTTGCTTTATTACTTTCTTTTCGTGCAAACATTGTGTCTCTCTGTTACTAGGGCACTGATGCACGGAAAATTATATGCCTTGGCCTCATAGAGGAGGTCACCTTGTGTTTTGGCGATGCTAAAACCTCCAAGGGATTCTGATCGTAAATATTTTTTTAATTGGACAAAGTTAAGGATTTTGTTTTATTCACTTGTAAAGATTTGGAAAATACTATATGAAGCAACCAACTTCAAAAGAATCGTTATATGTTATTGCCTTGGGTCATTATTATAATTAAGAAATTTTTAATCGAATCACACAAATCAATATAAATAATTATGTTAGTTAATTTTATTGTATTTATAAATAAAATATTTTATCTTTCTTATTAATCATTAAATTTTTTATGAGATAAAAATATAGACAAAACTTAGATACATTAAATTTTTGCAAACACTTTTAATTAAATCACATATTAATATCATCTAAAAAAATCACATTTAATATAAATAGTTATTTTAATTTTATTATATTTATAAAATAAAATCAAGATGTATTAATTTTACTATTCTTTCTTATTATTAATTTTTCTTGAGAGTTGAAAATATAGACAAATAGCTAAAATATGTACCATAGGTACTATTTATTAGTTTTACCTTAATAATAAATATTTAATGCATATTTCAATAATGTTCATTTACGTATATCAAGTAGAATTCCAATTTTAATTAGAGAACAATAATAACAATACTTAAGTTTTGTTGTCAAAATATTACTCCCTCCATTCTGTGTAGCTATTTTACATGAACAAATAAAAATTAATAATTAAATAAAATAAATAATAATTTTACAAGATTAATCTTATAATAAATCATAAGACATATAATACCCCCCTTTTAAAAAAAATATATTATGAAGGATGTAAATAGAAAAAAAAAAGTCATTAATACTGCATAGAGAAGGTAACATGATGTTTATTTTGAATTTTTTAAAAATATATGACACTTATCATGGGATAGATGTACTACATAAAAGCTTATGCATCAATATTAATGAAATTGATAAGTTTAAAAGGTGAGAAATCATTTATTTATCAAAAAATTTTCACATTATTTAATTACAAGAAATATATATATCCTCACGGTTATTAATAAGAACAAAAAATATACAATAAAATTAATATTTTATAAAAACTGAAAACACTTTTTATAAAAATAATTATTTCTTTCTAAATTATACCTTATAATAAGGACTAAGAAAGTTTTTCTATAAAAGTTAATAAATTAAGGAGATCACAAATGCATGCATCAGTTAATTATATTGATTTTCTACTAGGATTTCATATTAAAAAAGACTGTTTAAGAAAGAGTGATAATACTATTTAATTAATTAATACTCAATAAAAATTGCATATATACCGTTTTTTCTTAACTTTTAGAATGCTACTTATTAAACACATTATCACTCGATAAGAATCATGACGTCCAAAATTATAACCATAATTACGAAGGCCACATTTAAACATTAAAATTTAAATTATTATATGATTTTTTTATTTTACAAGTATTTCTATTCTTTATTAATCCAAAACATCCAAATTTCCAGTCCCGACAAAAGGAGATTCGCTCCAAAGTCCAAACCATAAATATGTTTTAGCTTGTCAGTCACGTCAAACGTTGACGATCAAGTAGAGTTGATATCTGAGTTACTAATTTACTATATAAACGCAATAAGTAATGCTATATAGTACGATTTTTTTTTTTTGACGAAACTAATACGAATCTAAGTGTTTAATATCATTGGATAAATATTAAATTTTAGAAAATAAAAACTAGACTTTGGCGGAAATCAATTCGCTATACTATTAATTAGCAATACATTTTTACGTGAAGTTAATTTCTTTCACGACTGTCATAAGCCATGAATAATCAATGATCGTAGAAAAACTAGTTATTTTCTTGATGAATTTATGCATGTATAGTTCGTACATTCAGATAAGGTCTTGTGGCATATTGACATAATAAAGATCCCATAAAATTAAGCAGTTAAAGTTCTTGATTTTTGGGTCCTCCAAAAGATGATTTGACTACATTCTTGATGTAGATTCCAATGAGCAACACAAGACAGATGAGGACCACAAAGTGTGCCATTTTATTTTGCTTCTTAACCTCCTCAACCAAACCAGAAATCATCTGCACTCTTCTTGATTTTTGGGTCCTCCAAAAGATGATTTGACTACATTCTTGATGTAGATTCCAATGAGCAACACAAGACAGATGAGGACCACAAAGTGTGCCATTTTATTTTGCTTCTTAACCTCCTCAACCAAACCAGAAATCATCTGCCCTCTTTCCTTCATCTTGGCCACACTTCGCTTAAACAACCCTTCATCAGGACCTCCACTTCCCATCATCTCATTGCCATGATCATCATCATTTTCTTCTGCTTTGCCCTTCTCCTTCTGTGACAACTTTCTTTCCAAATCTTCATGACCTGATTCCTTCTCTTCCTCAACTCTTTCTGTGGCTCCATGCATTTTCTCCTCATCAGCTTCAGAACTTTTGCTTTTGGCTTCAGGTTCTTCTTTCTTCTCCTCCTTCTCTGGCTTCTTCTGAGAATCTTCCTCTTCTGCTCCCACCTTTTGTTCTTCCTGTTAAGAATCTCTATAAATATCTTTTGTTTATAAAAAATAATTTAAACTTTTAAAAATATATAATTTATATATTAAATATAGACATAATTTAAATAGAATTCATAAATAAAAATATAACAAGCTCTTTTTAAAAAAAATTAAATATATTTTAAGTCTTTACATTTTTTTTCCAATTTTTATTTTTAATTCTTGAACTCTTTTTTTTTTATTAACATTTTAATCTTTAGCGACAAAATTTTTTTAGAAAATAAAACTAAATAAATTTTTTTTTGAGATTAAAACAAAAAATTGACAAAAATTTAAAGACAAAGTATATTTAAATTTTTAAAACATTACCTTTTGGAGTGGTGGTGGTTGTGGCTCAGTTTTTGGTTCTGCAGTTTTATCCTCTTTTTGATCAGTAGGTTCTTGATCTTGATCTGGTTTGTTATCATCAGTTGTCGGTGGTGGTTGTTGATCAGGCTTTGAAGGTTCTTCTTGTTTTGATGTTGAATCGATTATTTTTGGAATCTTTACATACAGCATCCCAGCTTCAAACTTGGCAGTAATCCCACTGGTGTCATGATATGCTTGAAGATCCTCTTCCTTGTTAAATCGACGCGATTTGTTCTCACTGATCTTTCTTTCTCCACTCAATTTTAGGACACGCTTGGAGGATACTTGAACCTTCAGTTGCTCCTTTCTAAACCCTGTCATATCAAAGTATACAAATACATATATAGTACCTTTTACCATACGTCTAACAAATTTTTACAATCCGACATTTTTCCTTTCTTTTTGCATGTGGTCATGCATGCATGTATGTTACACACCATTGAAAAAGAGTCGTTTCTTGTGTATATAGTTTCCTTTTCTTTATGTAAATAGTTCTTATGCAGTGAGAGATTAAGCACTGTTCATCATAAATTATTTCCAATAATGAATAGGGTGAACTGTATAATAAAATGAAAAGGGTTATTTAAATTTCTTTAAATCCAAAGGAGTTCTTAAGTAATTAATCACTAGTCCCAAATATATTGCATGTTACCATTATTCTTTTAAGTTTTCTTTGTTAATTTTTCAAATGAAGCTATGTAATTACTTTTATACAATATAAGAAAAAGGCATGCATAAAGAAAATGAAGTGAACCTGGAAGCATAAGAATTAGCGTGTCACTTTCTTTCTTACGATCCCAGTCAGAGGGAGGAACAAAATTTTCAAAGAAAGGGTCTGTTGGTGGTTGAACATTTGTCTTTTCATCCAACGACATTATTGCACCTTCTTTCGATCTACTTTGTTTCTTTTGTGTTCAGTAGTACTGTATGTATGTATATATATATCTTCGTCTCTTGGAGAATGAAAGTAATCTGATGCATATTATGTTAGTTATATACACATATCCATGGCTAGCTGTGTTTTCTTCCAACGTAGTTCTTCCTTTTCGTGCAATCATTGATTTAATTTAACTGTGTAAAGGACTTCCTCGGTTGTCCTGTGCAAGAGAAAGAGAAAATAACACTCTCTAAAGAATACTTTACTTGTAGGCTAGGCAACAAGAGCTTCTTTCTCTATTTCTTCCCCAAAACACACATGTAATCAAATTCTTTATTATGAAAATTAAGATAAGCACTTCAGATTGTTGCTTGCTGAGGGTTTGCATTATTCTTTTATATATTGTCTTAAAAAACACTCATAGATAACAAATTGTAAACTCTAAACTTAGTCAGGTATTTAATTCTAATAATATAAATGCCTTTAATCTCTCAAATTTTGGGTAAGTTTTTTTTTGTTCCCAAAACTTAAGAAATATTTTTTAGTAACTAAAAAGAGCAGAGTTGTGCAGCAAAAATTGATATGCTTTCAATAAAAATAATATTAATAAGCAAAATTTGTGTAGTACGTTGTGTAGAATACAAACAAATTATTTTTGAAATTAAAATGAATAAAAAATATCAAAATATAAAATTTATTTTAAATTTAAGAAATTTAAAATATATTTAATCTTTAATTTTTTTCATACTTAATATTATGCTCCCTTCACATACTATTTATCTCTTTACATGGGTCTCTTAAGTTTTGATATTTTCTCCTCATAACAATTTTTATATTTGTTCTTTAGTGAGTACGACATTGAATGGATAATTATTGATGCTTTTTAAAATTGAATTAATTATCAAATAGATTAAGATATTAATTTAAAATTTAATAATTTAATTATGATTAAATTGATATTAATAAAATAATATTTAAATAATATATAAAATAATATTAT